CCCCCCCCCCCCCCGTCAGCACGCGACATAATCACATCTGCTTCGACACACGTGTGGCCATCGCCCCCTTTGGTCAAGCCCTTGAGCGACAGATAGGCAGCCACTTGAACGGGGCGGCTTTGCCACAGCTCACGCAGCACACCCATTGCGGCGAGGGCCTTGGGCACACACAGCTGGCCCTCTTTGCACACCTCCTTGCCGCCGCATTTGGCCTTGGCCTTGTCTGTCTTGTCCTTTTTCTCGGCCTTCTTGAGACCCTTCCACGTGGTTGAGTACCGAGGGTTGACCTGACAGACGGACGGACGGATACACAGCGCACAGAGACGGGATGAGCAGCGTGTGTTTGTCTATCGCTCGGTGTCTGTCTGAGTGTCTGTGCTTGCCTTGTCCCACAGGTTGCAGAACTCCCTCTTGTAGCCCGGCCGTGTCTCGGCTCTCGGGCTGTCCGGCGGCAGGTCCGCATCGAGGATCGACAGTGCCTGCCACGGATCATCGCCCTTGGTGCTGAACGACACGCACGCGAATCAGTGTGCCGGCAGAAGTCGTCCGTACGTCCTCTGCTGACCTGAATACGTATTGCGGCCATTGAGGGACGTCAATCAAGCCGACATTGGGATCATCACTTGCGATGAAGTTGCGCACATAGGAGTAGAGGGTCGTCCTAGCCTGCCGCTCGTCAGGCGTGAAGGTGAACTGGCCCTCCAGGATGCCGAACCCCGACGTGAGAAAGAAGACCCCGCTTCTGAGGACCCATGGGAGCTCTTCCAGGTGACAGCGGACACCGTCAGTATCGCAGAACTGGCCGATCGTGAGGCCGTAAGAGGCCGCGGGGTTCAAAGGGTTCTCCACGAGGATCTGCGGCGCCTCGCTCGAGCTCCATCTACAGACACACACACACACACACACATGACAGACGCACACATGAGGTAGGCAAGCGGGACATTTTGTGTCCCATCCACTGATCCACTCATCCACTCACCCAGCCACGTAATAGGCGAGGAAGCACTTCTTCAGACTGCCACACAGGCCGCGAGCAGGGCCTGCAAACAGTCGACCCCGAAACACTCAGCCGTGATACCCACACGATAATATGCTCACTTACTCACATGAGAACACGTAGTCGCCGATCGCGGACGAGAGCGAGCTACCGGCATCGGCGCTCTCGGGGAATTCACCCCGGTTTGCTGGCTCCCCTGGGTAGACGTCGTCGCCATTCCATGGGTACTTTGACAAGACGGCCAGGGCCTTAGGGAGTCCCAGCAGCACCTCCAGTATCGAGCTATAGCTGATGGAAGACACATCGACAAACGGCCATGGTGGAGAGGGATGAGTGGACAACACAGCCTCTCTCTCTGTGTGCGCTGCGCTGTGCTATGCTGTGCGTACGTGAGGGGGTTGGCCACAAGTGGTGTGGTGTCGAACTGGCCGATGTACTGTGTGACTTCGTCGGCGGAGGCCAGGGCCGTGCGCCGGTAGAGGGTGCCCTCATTGTTGTTCGTCGTCACAATGAACGGAATGCTCTCGTTGTACTTGCCCTGTCACACGCACGAACATACACACACACACACACAGAGAGAAAGAGAGGGCGACGCAAATCTGGACACATGGATGGCTTCTTCCCAGCTCACGTCGAGAAGTGCCTGAAAACACTCATCGGGTATCTCCGGCGTCCCAGGCGTAGGCGTGACATTTTCCGTCACCCTGAAGAAGTCATCCGCCACCTGGACGGCATACACCAGCTCATCCGCCTTGCGAATCTCCTCGATCGGAGCCCTCCGCAAACACGCGACGTATTCTTGGCCGTCGGTGAAGTCCTTGCGCTTGCACGACTTGATGGCTTTCAGCGCCACCTTGACCACCTTCTTCGCATCCTCTTGAGGGATGAGTGGTAGGCCCCAGCTGCCAGACGACAGGAGGACCCTCCGTATGTCGAGGCCGTTCTGAGCAGTGGTGGGCGAGGTAAGGTGACAGGCCGCCAGCTTGGCGCCGTTGCTGAAGCCCCACAGCGTCAGGCCCGGCTCAGACCGGCCGCCTGTGAAGTTCTGCAAACACAAACATGCACGCGTGAAATGGATTCCTTTCGTGCCATATGCCTCTGTCCTCCTCACCCCGACGGTCTGTTGTATGAACTTCAGCGCAGCGACAGAATCCATCTGAGAGAGGAGCCGCCGGCCGTCATGAGGCAGGGAGGGAGCGAACAATGGTTGGGTCACTTACAAAGCCATAGTTGCCTGGCAGCAGGATCTCTGAGGCGTCGCCCTTCTTGCCGCCGCCTTTCTTGTGGCTCTCTTTTGGATCCGTCTTGTCCTTGTCCTTGTCTTTGTCCTTGTCTGGCTTCTTCTTGTGATGATGATGTTCCTTGTCTCTGACAGGCGGCAGAAAGCCCAGGACCCCCAGTCGATACTCATAAGTGACCACTACAGAGCCTGACGAACGAAACGACAAGCAGACACAGAGAAAACGATATGTCATGCCATCTGCACAGGCAGCCCTGTGTGCTTACGTATTCCATCAGCGAGCCCTGATGCTATGTTGACCGGTGCACTGGCTGATCCAGTGATGAAGCCCTCCCTAAGACGATGACAGTCGTAGGCAGCGTCGTGTCGTTAACTAGGGTGGAGAGTAGAGCCCCCCGAGGCCTATATATGTTTACGACGAGACACTGCTCCACCTCTCCCGCAGTCCCGCAGAGATACGGATTTCTGCCCACGAACTGCAGCCAAATGATATGAACTAAGTGTACTACAGCTCCCGTCAGCTGCATCTGCCCACCTTGCAAAGCGAGATACAGCCTGGCGCCGGGTCGGTGGCGTTGAATGCGTCCTCAGGGAAGGGAAATGGCTCGGGGAACTTGAAGCGCTCGGCTGTGGCATACGGGACGCCGAAGAAGGCGTCGACGCCTGACGACAGAAGGAATGTGACCCATGACCTTGGACAACGGACAAAGGGCCGAGGCACTCACCCGAAATCGGAGTGCAGGGCACTGATCGCGCCTGACGGAGGCACCTGCACATGAGACGTGCGAAGTTTTGTGTGTCTGTGTGGCTGTGCGCACCTCCCTGTGACCGTGACATTCCTCCCGTCAGCTGCATTCACACACATTCGCATCAATCAGCAGATCAGCAAGTGCGGATCAGTTTGCACCGGCGTCATTGACCAACCAAGCGTGATGTTGACCTCCGGAAAGGGATCAAAGTCCACGGTGAGGTCGATGTCCTCGAGGACTACCGAGAAAAGGGCATCACAAACATGCCATCATGCCATCATGCCATGTTTTCGTGCAGTGCTGTGTTGTGGCCATACTAGACGGCAGGTTCTCCGCCAGCTCTTGGCCGCGACTCCCAGGGAGGCACACAATAGTGAGAAAGAGGCTCCCGACGATGCGGAGCCCCAGCGTAAAGGAAGAGGGCAGCATCGTATCCGCACGCCCCTTGGGGGCGTCAGGTGTGATGTGGTGATCAGCTCACCCTGTACGGTGCAAACGGCCAACGGTTTGCGAGCTGAAGCGCAAAAAGAGTCGGCTGACAATGGACACACAAGCAGAATTGGCGGTTCTGAAGGCCAAGGTGGCCTCCCTTCAAGCCCAGGTAGAGGGACTGCAAAGAAATCCTTCCTCATGGACGCAAAACATCGGTGAGAAAGACGAGCTAGGAAAGGACTTGAGGGCGTGTGTTGATGCATGAAAAGACTGCACACGGCGTGTTGTGTGTCCATTTGGCAGGCAATCCCGCGCCCCTGGGTTTGTTGTCCTTCGGGATGACCACACTGTTCCTCGTAAGCAGAAAGACAGCTCATCACAAGCGAAGTTCTTCTTCCTCTCTGATGGCCACGATGCTTGCATGATGCAGATGTACATCGATATGGAGTGGAGTGAGGGAGGAGTGAAAGAACTGGTACGCCAGTGGTACGGCCAGCCAGCGGATCTTCCATCTTTGCTCTTCTTTCCGCAGGTGATAGCCTACGCGCTGTGGTATGGCGGGGTGGGCCAGATCATTGCTGGAATATGGGAGGTACATATCTTACACGCGCATGCAAAAGGTGTCATGTCCGTAATGCACACACATTGCAAAGGTGGGATTCTCTGGCTTGTCTGTCAAGATGCTCAAAGGGAACACCTTTGCGGCCAGTGCGTTCAGCAGCTATGGCTTCTTCTGGTGTGGATGGTCCCTGTTCAACAGCAAAGTGGTGGAAGCAGGATACACACCTGGATCAAGTCAGCATAGAAAAAGGAGGAGAGGCACCTCTTACATCTGGTTGTTTCAGAATTCGCTACTGGAGACGCACTGTATCTGGGTCAGTGGGGCGTCCTGACCTTCCTGTTCTTTCTCGCAACACTGCAGAAGAACAGGTGCCTCCAGGCTGTCTTCCTCCTTCTGTCGATCACTGTACGCTCAGAAAGGGCTGCTTCATCCACTCGTCATACGTATCCAACTGCCGTTTCTGCTTTGCTGTGTGCGTCGCCCTCAGTTCTGGCTTCTTGCCGGGGGTGTCTTTGACGAGACGTGCAAGATCGTGGCGGGGTATTTCGGCTTTCTCACGGGACTTGCGGCTATCTATACGGCCTTCGCAGAGATATATGAGGAGACATACGGCCGCAGCATACTCCCAGGTAGCTGCCTTGCTGGTCCCTTGTCAATGTGGGAGCATTTCGTTGTCTCGTGTGCGTGCAGGTTTGGAGCCGCTCAAGAAGAAGGCCTTAAAGGCCATCGACAGCACCGAGCCGGAACCAAACAGCATACAGGACATCCTGCCGCCCGCCAAGAATGTGTGAGATGCCACACAAACTTGTGAATGCGCAACACCGCAGACAGCCCCGAGAGACGCATTGATGTTAATTGCACGTTTGTCTCTGTCTACTCATGGGATGCGCTCTTGTCGATTTGGTTGCCTGCCCGCCTCTGCGCTCTTGTCGGGACTGAGAGGATCGACCTTCTCTATTTGCCTGCAATGCTAATGTGTGCACTTGGTGGTGGATCTCTGTGCTTCCTCACGTCTACAGCAGTCAATGAAAGACATGAGGACACGACCGTACCAACCGCGAAACTCACGGCCGTGGGGAAAAGATCCTTGGGGCCGTGGGGAAAAAGTGTGCCATGACCAAAGAAAGCCTGGAGGCGCCTGAGGGCGACAACGGAGACGTGCATGACGGCGAGGAGCCCCAAATGGAGGCTTCCACAGGCGGCCCTCACCGTGAAGACACCACCGTGACGACAGTGTGCACTCATCCCTCCGAATTCACGGGAGCCTCAGGCCCGACACCTGATTGCCTTTCCTACGGTCCATGGCCAGTCCAGCCCCAGCCCCCAAACGAGGGCTGCGGCGCCTTCCTTCCACTATTCCGCTCACTGGAGACGTTTCAAAAGCCCCATGGGGATGTGCAGCTGTTCAACCGGAGCTTCACCGTCGTGACGATTGTTGAGGAGGCAGCCGACAACGAGGAGGGCAAGGGCGGCGACACGAAGGAAGACAGGCGTGTTGAGAGACGGGAGGGATCTCTTCTCAAGCTCATGGAAGAAGGTAAGGCGTCCATAGTACTGGCTGGTAGACTGTTGTTCTTGTGTCATTCATGCAGGGTTTCGCGTGGCAGCGGGATACCCTGCGGCTTATCAGGAGTTCCCAACGCAGCTGAGATACGAACAGGTCGACGGAGAACAAGAAGTGCTTGTGGGAGCGGAATTTCAGCCTGAGCGATTCCTTCTCACTCTCCGCCGCGTGGCGTGGGTCATCTTGCGGCAAGTGGGTTATGCCCTGACGCTGGCGACACTGTGGGCTGGGCTCTTCACGCTCATGTGGCTCTCGTGCGAGGACGAGGACGGGGACTGGGACGGGGCAAACCGCACGGCCTACATCGTCATGGATTTCATCAGACGCGCCCTGGCCATCTTCGCGTACGCTGCCCTGCAAATGATCACTATCGAAGGCGCTGACGGCCGTGGGATCATGCGCCGGCTGCGCAGCAGCTCGGGCCATTACGTGATCCCTCTTGCCTGTTCCCTCACGGTGGGCGTGGCTTATTTCTCAGGCCTGCCCTTTCACGCTCACGGCATCTTCGGCCCTCTCATGATCATCTTCATCGGCCATGTCGCGCCTTTCGGTGTGTATCGGCAGGCGGCGGAGAGCATGGACAGCGTCAACAGGAACAACATATACGCCCTTCAGGCGACATTCATCTGGCTGTTGACTCTCGGAATAATGTCGCTTTGGCTTGGTATCATGCTGCCCATTGGATTGAACGCTGAGAGTGACGGCCAAAGGATTAAGATTGCGCTCATCTGTCTCGCCGTTGGCAAGCCCTTTCTCTCTCTAGGTGAGCTGAAGCAAGGAGGCGTCCGTCTTCTTGCATATAAGCAATTTCTGCGTCTCGCTTTCCTCAGTAACGAATACGTCTCGATTTCTCAAGGTGAGATCCGAGAAGGCAGCATGATCGACCAAGTCCATTGCACCGCTGTCTCTCGGGTGCATGTGTGTCTGTCGCGAAGGATGGCCCGTCGACGAACACCTCGCCTTTCATCTTTGTCGCCGTGATCGGCTACCTGCTCGTGCCCCGTATCCTGCAGGCAAAAATGATGAAGCTCAGCACAAAGGTGCTGTTCTCCTTTCTCTTCGCCAGCCTCGACCTGCTGGCTGACATCCTTCTCCCGTACGGCGACCTCATCTGCATGGCAATCGGCCGCTGGTTCGCATCTCAGACATCCCAACAAACGCTGTTCCACCCCTTTCATCGCATCAGAGCGGCCAGGCAACCCTCTGATCAAAAGCATGGATTCAGCGACATCGGAATCGACGGACTAGACGAGGATCCTCAGGCAAAGGCCGTGTCTCGAAACATGATCACATTGTCGCCTGCAGACATACCCCCTCAGCAGCTGGCGGGGCGCAGCTCCTCAAGCATCATCTCTGGCGACCAACCTGTGAGGCCCGGTCTCTCGCTGGAAAGCACGTCGTCCCGGCGGTCCAGTGATGGTCGGGTTATGAAGCGCGACCTGTCATTAAGAAGCACAATGTCTTCAATCGCCTCCGACCCCCGTAGCATTTATGTGATGTGTGACGTGCATCCCCGATACTTGCGAGGTGAGCAAGCCGCTGCTTTCATCCAGACGTGCCTCGCATCTGTGTGGTTGTCTTTGTCCTGCCTGCAGCCATAAGCGACCAGATACATGGGTTCAACCTGAGTCAGCTGACGGTGCTCATACTGCTGAACCTGCTGCAACTCACCTTGGAGCAGATCATACAGCCGTCGTTTGGCAGGCTGGCGGAGCGGCTTTGGTTTCTCTTTGGTTCAGTGGATGACAAGAGTGAACAACCTGCCATTGCTGAAGGTGCAAAGACATGCAGACGATCTCGCACATGACACGTGATGGCTGGTCACCTCTCCCTGGCTCTTTTGCAGAGCGAGGAGGAGCCAAGGGTGGCCCTCACCCGCGTGGTGTCGCTCTTCTTGAGCTGCCTCGTGCTCTTCTCCTCGCTGTTCCCTTGGATTTTTCTATTCCTCCTTCGCTCCCTGGACGACCAGCATTTCGACAAGAGCATTGACGAGATCTGTCCCTACTATAGCCAAAGATATAGCAGATACGTCGACAACGACAGGCTGTGAGCGATGCGTCGTGTGCCATCTGTCGTCGGTTTTGTCCCTGTTTGTGAGCAGTTTTGCCTGTGAGGCCTGTGAGACCGTAAGCCATGTATGCATGTGACTTGGGGACGATGCAATTCGTCACCCGTGCTCTACTGCATCTTATCCGCCGCCAGCCGCTCTGCCCACACATCAGAATTAGTCTCTCGCTCATTTCCACCAGTGTCGATGAGTCGAATTTCAAATTTTCCTCACATCTCCAGAGATGATGCACACAGGCCATGTTGTCTTGGCGTTTGGCTCAGCTGCGGTGGTTTTTGGGTGCGAGCCGGATCGCATGAGATCTGCGAGCTTAGCAAAGAGGAGAAACGCCGTTTTTCAGCAGATCTCCATAGTTACTTGGCGCCAGGAGCACAACAGCGTCCATCACATAGCACTGATCTCTCAACATGATGCCTCCGTCGCCTCTGCGACTCATCGCGATGTTTATCGGCATTGTTCTCGCTAACAGCGCTTCGCCGCCCTTATCGTCAGTACATGCCCGGCCCCCGCGGCGGCTTCACTGCATCCACGGCGGCATGAATCCATCGGATGACGGTCTCGTGGAGACCGCCTTTCCGCCTTCCCTGCCGCACCCTCCCCCACTATCCGCCATCATCGACGAGGCCGTGTGGAACGCATCGCTGCAGCTCGGCATCACTGTCAAGATGCTGCCGCCTGTCCCGCCACCAGAGCCGTCAGAGGACGCGCTGCGGACAGCTGAGTTGCCTGGCAAGAGGCACCGGGTGAACCCTCTGGCGGAGTTTGGCTATGGAGATCTATCGCAGGCTGCATTGCGCGAGCACCGCGGCTGGCTGCTGGGGCAGATGGAGGCGCTCGTGGAGACCTGCGGCATGCTGGAGAAAGAGCTGGGTGGCAAGGAGGAGGGCAAGATGAACAAGAAGGACGACAATGCGGCAGCTGCTCAGACAAAGGTGATGCACGCCGTCACCTTGAAAACATATATATCCTGTGTCATGTTTGCGTCAGCCCCTATCTGCCCGCGGCAGTCGTCCCCTGGAATGGGAGTTTGCTCTCAGCACGGCGTCGAGCCCCAAGAGCTGCCTGATCAACATCGAAGCGGAGGAGGGGACCAAGGTGGCTGGGCCAAAGGGCACTGACAAGTGGGTCACCTTCTCACAGCTCAACAAATACAGGCGGAAGGACCCGCAAAAGGTGAGCAGGGCGGGGCGGGGTAGCGCAAGGTCGGTGATCTGTCTGCGCACATCGTTGTGTGGTCGTGCCCGGTGTGTGTGTGTGTGTGTGTGATTGTGTCAGTTGCGAGATTTGTGGTACGGGCAGTATGACGTGGACTTTGGGCCGATCAATGAACTCGCCTCCACACAGGTATGAGTGTGTGTGGCGTCACCCACACATAACAACACGCGGTGCTTCTGTGCTGCTTCTCATGCCTGTCCATCCATCCATCATCAGGCGCTTGCCGTGTCAGCGATGCTCGACTCGCCCGTGCTGATTCCCTCCTTAGTCATCCTGTCGATAGCAGGCGCCCTAGGCGTGTCTGCCGGTGCGCTGTGGGCGGTGCTGGTGCGGCTGCTCAACTCCCATCTCTGGTGGCGGAGCTACGGCCTCTGGAGCAGATTCCTCTATGTCAGCGCGCCATTCAAGATACTCCTCGGCAGGTCCGCAATGCTTCCACACTTGTTTGCGTAAGCGGTTGATTCATCTTGTGTGTTCGATCGCTGTGCGCGCACCTGCAGGTGGGTGTACAGCAGCTGCCGCGATGTGGTCAAGGCTCTTGCGGACGTGGTGCGCGACCGGCTGCTGGACCTGGAGTCCCACCTGCTGCAAGCGTCCCTCCCCGTCCCACCCGAAGAGACCGTGCCGAAGACACAACGCGACAAAGGCCAAGAAGGAGACCAAGACGACCAGGGTCTCGAGGACGAGCCAGAGGAGGAGCCACCAGAAGAGAGTGAGGATGCACGCGACAGCCAAAGCAGTACAGAGCAGAGATGGTGGCCAGGGAGGGACCTATGGCGGAGGGTGCGGAGGCAGAGAGGGGGTGGACAGCGGGAAGGGGAGGACGCTGAGAGGGATGAGCAGCAAATGGAGGCGCAGGAGGGCGGGATATGACTGACTGACTGACTGCCGTGTGTGTGTGGGATGGATGAATTCATCCAGTCGGTCTGATGAGACCAGACATAACGGATTGATTGATGTGCGGGTGTGTCTGTGAGTGAATGCTTCATGATGGTCCGTCCGCTGGCGAGCATCAATCGATGGCTTCTCTTCGAGGATATGAAAAAGGCTATAGAAGCGGTCGATGCTCGGGACTCATCCAAAGTGATCGGGGCTCATTGCGGCTGAATGATTGGCTCCTGACGAGCCCTGTGAGCCCACAGAAGGGCTTTCGCCCTCCTTTCCAGCCGATCGGTGCGAGCTGAGAGAGGGCGAGCAATTGAGGGCGAGAAGCAACTTGGCGAGAAGAACGAAACAATTTGTGCTTACCAGGCTTCTTGGTGAGCCAGTGGAGGCGCAGTGAGGCCCTGTTGAGCGGACGAGTCCGTCTACCCATCGCCCAGCCGCTTCTGTGCCCACCTGATCCATCAGCGGCCCTGCTGCGCAAGAGATCATCACGCCACGTAGCGCCATGTTGTCCGACGGTGAGTGGGAAGATGGGAAGATGCGGCGATTGGCTCACTCACAAGCACACCGCTGAGCTGTTTGCTGCCTGTGTGTGTTGGTGGTCTTCAGGTCTGCCTTGTCGACGGGCGGACTGGTTGATTGATTGAGGGCGTGTGCGCGGCTGGCCGCCGACTCATACGTTTGATAGGCAAGCACTGATGCACACAACAAATGCATCAGGTGCCTGCAGGCCCATCTCTGTGTGTGTGGTTGGTGCAGCTGTATGCGTGCGTGAGTCGTCCCGACACCCACATGGCCTCTGCTGGCCCGGCCGACGGTGGCGATGGCGATGCAGGTACACTCTGCTCAGACAGATGCAGCACGTCACACACACACCATCATCGTGTGTGTGGATGTGTGTTCCTTTGCAGACGATGTAGCCGAGGAGGAGACCAACGGCTTTGTTTTATTTGACGAGGGTGAGCGACGAGCTGTGGGATATAGCAAGGCAGCACGGTCATGACTGCTCGTGTGTGTGTGCGTGTGTGCGTGTGCAGGTGTTGTCCGTGTTGAAGGGGGCCGCGGTGTCGGCGGGCAGAACCGGAGACGACAAAACAGAGGTAGACGCCGGCCGATCCACCGACACACAAATCAGAATCGGCCTCCAGAGCTCATCGTTAATAATCTTGTATGTGCCAACCACAGGTGCGCCGTTGCCAGACACCTGGTTCCCTCCTGGTGCCAGTGGCGCTAGCATACGGCTATCCGAGCGCATCCTCCGCCGCACAGTCATCGACGAACAGCATTTGACGGACGTGATCCACCAGCCTGGAGCCGACCCCAATGTGGAGCTGTGGCTACATCACGATGGGGACCATTCTAGCTACAGAGCTTATCCGCTGCTGGCGCTGTGCATTGACAACCTCTCGGACAACCGCGTGCCAGCCATCTGGGCAGCCGACGGGGACGTGGACGACGACGTGGATGCTCCTGGGTGTCCCATCGTCTCGTCTTGCCCATGTGGCAGCCCCCTAGCCTCCAGCTCGCCGTCATGCGGGGCCTCATCCAGGGAGGGGCGGACATCAATGCGGGTGAGCTCGGCCAAGCGAGTTGGCCCATCCTGGTGGCCATCGCCTCGTGCAACCGGGCCGCATTCGAACTCCTGATCGGCCAGCCAGGTGCCCACCCATTCACAGCACTCACGACACGGAACACATAGCATGGTGTCTGGCTGTCTGTCTGGCTGGCTGGTTGGCTGTCTGTTTCAGGCATCCAGCTGCAGGGGCGATGCGTGCTGAATGTGCCGCCTTCTCGTCAAACGGATCAGCCGACTAAGGCTGATGAGGCCACCCTGCTGTCCTTCTACGAGCAGCTCATCCAGCGGGACAGCACACTCGCAACAGAGACCGATGCCGACAATGGCAGCAACCCGGTGCATTGGGCGGCCGCGAGACCTCCCGTTTGGTCCCAGCAGTTCATCGAGAGCTACATCGAGCTGCTGGTGACCAAGGGGGCGGACATCACGGCCGTGGACAATGATGGATGGACGCCATTGCACGCTGCGGCAGCCTGGGGTTCGCACCAGGCGGCTGCCTCTCTCTGCCGCCGTCTCACCGCTGCCGACATCAACAGAGGAAGGCCGAGTGACACGCCCGTCACACCCCTCGCCGTCGCTGCCATACGGCTCGATGAGGTCACCCAACAGCTGCTGCAGGACGACACCACGGAGCAGGCCGAGAAGGATCGGCTCACCATCCTAATCCCGAACCTCCAGAAGACCGTCCGTGTGCTGCTCCAGGTGGGCGCTGACATCGCCCTCATGCCCACAGCCACAGAGCGAGACCGCCGGTGCCGCCAGCTGGTGTTGGCGGAGCGGGCGACCGTGGTCAACGAGCTGCCCATTCCCGAGCCGCGCCCCGCCACCATCGATCGAGGCGCAGGATCGGCTGCAGAAGATGAAGGAGCACCGCGACAAGCGCAAGGGCCGGCAGGCCACACGACAGGCCAAGGAGACCCCCACAGAGGCCGAATTGGCGCGGCAGCAGCGAGAGGCCGACGCCAAGATGGCGGCCCTGATCAGAGAGGAGGAGGCGGCCAACAAGGAGAGGGCGGCGGCTAAGGAGAAGACGGGCGGCAAGAAGAAGGGCAAGAAGGCTGGCAAGGGGCAGCCCAGCGCCCCCACCCCCACCTCCACCAGCAGCCCGCCGGGTGACGAAGATGACCAGGCGGACAGCAGTGGGGCAGCCGATGATGCTGGTGAGGACAGCGACGCCCTCCTGTTGGCGTCGGCCTTCGCCCAACGCGCCATCGAAAGCCAGAAGAAGGCCCCCAACGCGAAACATCAGAAGGCGGCCGATGTCAAGACCCAGCCAGCTGCCCACCCCGAAAGATCGACTCGTTCCCCCTCCTCGCCCTTCCAGCCCCCCACACCCAAGCACAAGACGACTCACCAGCCCTCGGCTGATCGTCTGCTGCTCTCTCACCCTAGCGGCGTGTCGACGGCCGACCAGACGCCGCGCGAGGAGCGTCTGCCGGGCCCATCGGCAGGTAGCAAGTTGGGCGGAGGCAGAGGGCTGGGCCTACCGGCTGCTGCACCATCCTTGTTCCCTCGGCCGGCCCCTCCAACTCACCGGTTGCCGTTGGCTGAGGAGCTGCGCGAGTCGGCCATGCGGCGATCGTTTGTGTCGTCGAGTACATCCCACCTGTCCCCATCCCCTCGGCCCCTCCCCCTCGGTGCCGATGATCCATTCCCCCCTCTAGCACATGGGCCACAGCATCCGTAGGCAGACAGACACAGACAAGGGGATGAATGGATGGGCACAATGAATGGCGCTGTTGTGTGTGGTCGTCTCTCTTTATATCAGTGACGGCTCGTTTCCCACATCCTCGAGTGGGCATCGTCCCTCGTGTCATCGGGGCCCTCCGCCACTCGTCAAGTATCCCAAGTAAGGCACAGACAGGCCGACATGAGGACACCTGACGCACACACCGGTGGGGGGTTATGGTGCACCCGTCTTCTCATGCCGTTGGGGTCTCTTGTAGGCGTGTTGAGTCGGTGGCTGAGGAGAGTGTAGAGCGTGACGGTGGTGGCGACGTAGAGGACGCTGGTGCTGACGACGAAGACATAGACACACAGCAGGAGAGGTCAACACAGCGAAGCTCACGCATTCACACTAACGCCCCGCTGTCACCCTCACTAATACCGACGGCATCCTCTCACGATTTACAGGCCAATGTCTGAATCTGCGGACACCACGCGGCCCTCTTCTCGTTCGTCCGGTGCTGAGCCTCTCCGGCCTCCCACCAAGCCTCAGCAGCGCAGAGGCACGGCTGGGCAGGCCGGCAGTGGCGTGCGGGCGGTGTTGCACTCGTCTTCGGTCAGTAGCGCAGTGGCCGCATCGGTCGGAGCTGGGCCGGCTCTCATACCGGCAGCCGACAAGAACCATCGACCACACCAAGATGGAGACGATAGGTCCGTTACATGCCCCAGACAGCATCTCCACCACGGCACGAGTGTCATTTGTTGGGTGTGCAGTGAGGACGAGGAGGAGCATGACGAGCAGACACAGATGGCCATCGCTGCATCGCTGCACGACGCCACCACCGCTGCCATGATGCTCCCGCCATCCATCCACATGACGTCTGGCGGCTACGCCAGTGGCGCATCGGCAGCAGCAGCAGCAGCATCGCTCGGGCCTCTGAAGGATGCAGTGTGCAGGGCTATAGAGGAGCAGCGGAGGTCAGCAAAGGATCGATGGAGGGAATGGGCGGACGCTTGGCTGCGTCATGTGTGTGTCCATGTCATCCATCTGCAGCATGGAGCGTGCTTATGGCAAGGCGCTGGAGCGGCATTCGAGCATCATGGAGCGGACCAATGAGCTCAACGCGGCCATAGGGGCACTCACAGAAGCCACGCAAGAGCGACCAGACACGTACAAAGATGGAAATGAAGCGCTCTGAATCATCTTCATCGATTCCTGTGGTACTTCAGGTTGACTCGCGATGCGTTGATGGCCCTGACGACGGCAGCCGAGGTCTGTGAGTTCGGTGAGAGGGTCACGCGCGAAGGCGAGCGGCTCGACCAACTCTACAGTCGTGCGTGCGAGTCCTCCCGCACCAGCAGTAGCGACACACGTGCTGGCAACGGCAGCGGGTCCCTCTTTGGCCGTTTTTCGTCCCCATCCGCAGCATTTGATGCAGCGCGCAACAATGATCGCATTCAAAGGTGGGCAACAACGCCAAACACACGCACACACATACACACATTCACTCACACACAGGTGATTGATCGGCACTCACTCAGGCGCTCGCGTCATGACGAGATAGCTGACGAGGTCGATTCGGTGTCATCGGAGGGGCAGCTGCGCGAGATGCTGCATAGCACTAAGGCCAAGCTGCGACAGTAAGCACACGCACAAAGAAACAAGCAGTGGAGTATGTTCATGCTGCCCCTTGGCTCTCCTGTAGGCTGGAGGCGGACATCTCGACGGTGACGGAGGCGAGTGCGGCAGCCGAGGCGAAGATACAAACACTCCAAGAGGAACACGACCGCCTGCTACAGATAGCCCGCACAGGGTGGGTAGACACACACGCACACAAACTTCGCCGCCAACGCCTCCTGGTTGCGTGTGTGCAGCCTGACGGAGCACCGGCTGTCATCCCTCCGCTCACCTGATGATGTGGAGGCCTTCAAGCGCGACATCACGAGGGCCAGGGCGGCACTGCGGGCACTGGGCAAGGAGGCCATCAAGATGGAGGGTCGGCTGGAGGAACGCGAAGCAGCGGCCGCCTCTGCTGCTGCGGCACCGCCGCCCCCTCCCCGTCCCATCTGCGTCATCTGCAACAACAGCCCGCCCACAGTGCTGTTTGATCCCTGTGGCCACCTGTGCCTGTGTGCCGATTGCTGGCAGCAGTGGAAGGGCAGACACGAGAGGGCCAAGGCAGAGAAGGCGCGGCTGGAGGGGGCGTGCAAGCCGGTGCCTGAGGAGGTGCGTCGGTATGCGGTGCTGAGATGCCCTTCCTGCCGGAGTGCTGCCGAGAAGACGATCACAGCGCATGTGCAGACGGAGGATTGAGTAGATCAGACAGGCAGAGGGGAGGGGCGGGCTGTGTTGTACAGGTGGTGGACGATGCCAGCTGTTGACCGACTCACTATGGGCAGCCAGCGAGAGTAGCTTCGCATTCCATTGCAACATTCCATTACATGTTCATACACGTATGTAACGGTTCTCACTTCTCACTACCGTCCTCGCGTCTCGAATGAGCCATGCGGACACATCATAGGTCTCCTCTCTCTCCCCTGGCGGCTCTCTCTCTCCTGCTCCTCTCCTCAGGCGAGCTTTTTTGCGAGCTTGAAGCAGATCTCTCTCTCGAGTTTAACCACTTACTTCCGGCATCTACGACGGCCTCAATACAGCAACGATGGACTCGGATGATGACATGCTCAGTCTGGATGAATCTGCGCCGCCAGAGCAGCATGCGGCGAGTGACGAGTCGCGGGGCAAGAAGAAGAGGAAGGGCGGAGGCTTCCAGTCGATGGATCTCAGCGCCGGCGTGCTCAAGGGCGTCCTCAGGATGGGATACAAGGTCCCGACTCCCATCCAGAGAAAGTGCATCCCGCCCATTCTCGAAGGTCAATAGATACACACGCAGCGGAGTGAGGGTCATTCACCCGTGCCTCTGAGGATGCAGGATGTGGGTGTGCCTCTGTGTTGTGTTCGTTGTGTGTGTGTGTGTGTGTGCAGGTGTAGATGTGGTAGCCATGGCGCGCACAGGGTCGGGCAAGACGGCCGCCTACCTCATACCCATCCTGCAGAAGCTGCAGGCACACTCAGGTGAAGCGAAGGCAAACCAGGAGCCCATGCGCAACACGAATCTCTCTGTGTGTGTCAGTTGTTGTGGGTGTGCGGTGTGTGATCCTCTCGCCCACACGAGAGCTGGCCATACAGACGTCCAAGTTCGCAAAACAACTCGGTGCGTCACGTCCATGAATGAGCCTCCAGTCGGCTCAGTGTCCCGATTGGCCATCCATCCATCCACCCATCCATCCATCCATCAGGTCGCTTCACGGATTTGCGTCTGTGTATGCTGATTGGCGGCGGTTCGATGGAGAGGCAGTTCGAGCGGCTGTCCAACAACCCCGACATCATCGTGGCGACGCCCGGTACGTGCGCATTCCATTCATGGATGCATGTGACTTATCTGTGCGTCTATGTGTGTGTGTGTGTGTGTATGTGTGTAGGTCGGCTGATGCACCACCTGGTTGAGACCGACCTGCGACTGACAAGGGTGCAGGTGCTCGTCTTCGACGAGGCAGATCGGCTGTTTGAGCTGGGGTGCGTTACCGGCCACATACACGGAGCATCGGACATTCTCAACCAATGCCGTGGTTGGTACGTGCGCGTGTGCAGGTTTTCCGACCAGCTGCGGGAGATCCTGAGCAAGGTCCCGTCCACGCGTCAGTGTCTGCTGGTGTCGGCCACACTCCCATCACAGCTGGTGGAGTTCTCAAAGGTGCGCAAAGGCACACACACACATACACACCTGCACCTGTGGCTGTGGTGTGCGCAGGCCCGTTTGCGCGAGCCGGTGTTTGTGCGTCTTGATGTGGAAAACACGCTGTCGGATCAGCTCAAGCTGACATTCCTCTACCTACGGTACACAGGGAATGGCCTCACTCGTCTGTGCGCATCTGTGTCCGTCTAAGTGTGTCTGTCTGTCTGCAGGTCTGAGGAAAAGCTGGCCTGCGTCTTATTTCTGTTCCGCCAAGTCATCAAGGTGACATCGGCCACCAGACGCAACGCACACACATGGATGGATGTCCACGTGCGCCGATGTGTGTGTACACAGGCTCCCGACAAGGCCATTCTCTTCGCTGCGACGCGCCATCACACAGAATTTCTCGGGGCTCTGCTCAGAAAGGTACACACACACACACACACACACACACAAACTGTCATCGTTTCCACGCACTCTCTGTCTGACCAGGTCGGGGTGTCGTGTTCCATCGTCTACGGGACGATGGACCAGACGGCCAGAGAGCAGCAGCTCGCGCACTTCCGGAAAGGCGTCACTCGCGTGTTGGTGGTGACTGACGTGGCGGCAAGGGGGCTTGATATACCATTCCTCGAGTAAAGGGAGACACTGGGACACCCGTAAACACGCACACACACGTGTCACACACAGGTATGTGGTTAATTTCGACTTCCCCACCTCGCCCAAGCTCTTCGTCCACCGGGCGGGCAGGACGGCTCGAGCTGGACGGTCAGGCAGCGCCATATCGTTGGTGACCTCTCCCGACCTGCCCTACACGATGGAGCTGCTGCTCTTCCTCGGCAGAAAGCTCAGAGTCGCCGGCCATGGCCATGAAGACCCCCAACACACCGACACACAGCAACAGGATGACAGCGACAAGTGAGCTGGGAGTGTGTGTGTCCCTGCATCACCATGTCTGTCTCGTCATTGTCCGTTGTTTGTCAGTTCGTGTGTGTATCTGGGAGGAGTGCCTCACCTAGAGGATGACACCGAGTGGATCAGAGCGCAGATCGGCGGCGGCAAAAAGGGCGAGGAGGCGTCGGCCGCTGGAGGCGATAGCGAGCTCAAAAGGCTGTACGGCGCCATGGACGGGTACGCCAGCCACAGATACAGACACATGATGTCCTTCCCACACAGATGGCCGCCGTGTGTGTGCATGTGCCAATCAGGGCTTACAAGTTGTATTACAAGACTCGCCCCTCTGCGAGCAAGGCCTCCGTGAAGCGCACCAAGGAGCTGATCCAGCAGGTCGGCGGCGTCGCCAAGCTCGGCAGCACGCCACACCCAGATTTCGGGACACAATTCAGCGAAACAGAGGTCAGTACGTGAGAGCCCACATGGATAAGAGGTCTGTGTACACCGATCTGTGGTGTGCTGTGCTGTCCGTCAGGCCGCCCGGGCGCATTTCATCGACGACCTGCGTCGGTTTCGGCCGCGCGCAGAGGACAACAAGGGCAGGGTCTTGTCGCCGGAGATACTCCAACGTACGACACTCCAGTGGCAAGAGAAATACGGGCGTCCATTTACACGTGTTGGTGCACGTGTGTGTGCGTGTGTGTCTGTCTGTTCGTGCCCATGGCAGGGATGCAGCAGCACAGGGACATTCACACGCTGCAGCACTACTCAACCAAGAGACAAGAAGAAGACGAGCAAGACGAGCTAGGTCAGACGAAAGCACCACAGCCCACACACATAGGCACCTCTCATGTGCCTCCCTGTTATCATCACGCAGACCAAAGCGACGACCAGGACGAAGGTGACAGCGCCCCCGCGACAATGGCCCAGCGATCACATCAGACCACCACACCGTCCCCCACACCCGCCCACCCTCCCCGGCCCCGCATGAGCAAACGGCGCCGAAACAAACTGGCCAAAATGGGCGGACAAGCAGAAAACGGCCAGCAGGACCTCGAAGCCATGGAGGAGGAGGGCATCACTGTGGCTGTGGGCGCTTACGGCGACACCAAGGCGCACCAGCTGCAGCAGGAGCACGAGGTCGATCAGGATGGGGCGAACGTCTTTGAGCGGACGACAAAGGTGCGTACCGATGCACTCGACACACACAACCATACACACCGACACAGATCGACGCATCTTTCCATCCATCAGCGTGACCCGACTTTTTATCTTTCGGCCACGATGGACGCCCGCAACGAGGCCAAGGAGCGGGGCCTGCAGCTGGACGCCCACCGGCTGGACTTGGTGCCCGACGAGTCCACCGACATGAAGAAGAGCAAACAAGTCATGAAGTGAGTGAGCACGCCAGCCGCCGCTTGTGTGTGGGGGGGGAAGATGCATGTGTCTGTGTGTGTGTGTGTGTGTCTGTCTGTGTGTGTGTGTGTGTGTGTGTAGGTGGAATGCCAGGAAGAAAAAGTACATGTTGACTGACGTCGACGCGAGCGGCAGGGCACTCAAGAGGAAAAACGAGGCGGGCGTCACCGTCAAGTCAGCCACCCACACCGCAGCACACACACAATATTCTCACACCCCCATCCATCCATCCATCTGTGTGTATCTGTGTGTGTCTGTGTGCGTTAGGGGCGATCGCGACGTGGAGGGCACCTACAAGAAGTGGGCGCGCGAGACCAACCGCCGCATACAGGCCGTCGGCGAACAGGAGGAGAAGCAAGAACACACACACACCGGTAGGCTACCCCACGCAGCCACACACAGATCGGTGCGCTGAACGCTGTGGGCACGTGTCAATGGCCATGTGTGTAGGCCGCAAGCGGCCGCGTGATGACGAGAGTGAAACCGATGAAGATGGCGACGAGCCGACAGAGCCGCCCACACAGGTGCAGCGGACGGCGGGCGGAAAACGCGACGCAGGTACGCATCGCGCGGGCAAACGTGTCTGTGGTGCACTCGTTTATGCCGCACGTGTGTGTCGCGCGTGTGTGTCTGACGCGTGTGTGTAGGTCTTCGCGAGGCCGTCGAGAAAGGCTTCACTCTGACGCACAAGCAACAGCGGAAGGCCAAGAAGATCGGTCTTCTGCCAGGCGGCAAACAGCCACAGCCACACGCAGCCAAAGACGCCGACGCGACCCAGCTCAAAACCGCCAAAGAGGTCCGTCCGCATACCACCAGACGACCACACACATGGGGCCGTCTGTCTCGTCATGTGTCTATGGTGTGTGTGCAGATCGCCAAGGCCAAGCGGGAGCAGCAGAGGATGAAGGTGCGGACGACACCGAAGCTGCGTCAAAAGGCGGCCAAGAGGGCCAAGGATGCGTGGATGAGCAAGCAGCGTGACAAGGCCGCCATGAAGGGGGCGCCCAACCGCAGCATGCTCATTGTGCGGCAGGGCGGCAAGAAAGGATTCAAGGGATTGGGCAGGGGAGGCGGCAAGGGAACAATGGGCAAGAAGGGCGCCCGAGGCAAAAAGTGAGAGAGAGAGAAGCCAAGGACGGCTGGCTGATGGTGGGCTGAATCGCTGGTCGTGTGTGTGTGTGTGTATACGAACGAACGGTTGGTTGGTTGCGATTAAATCAATAGCAATGTAGCAACATGATGCACTCAGTGATCTCACTCATGATGCACACACTGCAACATACACACACACAGGGGCTCGGTCTCAGTGAAAGGTCTGTGTGTGGGTGTTGGTTCCTCACCGCCTCTCTGTCGCCGTACTTGCTGTCTTCCCAATGAGGCAGATATGCACGTGCCGACCGACAGCTGTACACTCGCGCTGCCGCGTCTCTCTTACTTGGACACCAGGCTTAAATCAAGATCATAGCCGCCCTAGTGTCACACCTCCCGCCCTTCACTCTGTGGCCTGCCTTCAGTCCCTCATATAACTCCCATGCGAACGACTGCAAATCGCGCAGCATGGACTCGAGTCGTTATGGTCACAGATAGACGAAAAACCAACCCAATCCACACACACAGAACCCGGTCAATCAGTCAGACCACCTGTTCCCCGTTGATCCACTGAGGGATTGATGCACACAGCCCGCCAGTGTCAGTGAGTGAGATAGAGGCGAAAAAAGAAAAATCACTCTCACTCACCCATTCACAGCCTATTCCCCAGCCCGTCGCCGAACAGCACCTCCACATCGGCCCCCATGACCTCACGAGCCACTCTCACTGTCTGAGGGAACCTGGCGGCACCCTCCTTGCCCGACACGGGACACTCCGTCGTGTAGAGCGTTGTTTCAGCATGGTTGTGCCGGCCGCAGATCATGACGTGAGCCTCGAAGGTGTGGTGGGGCTGGTCGCCTTGGATCACGATCATGCGGCCGAAGTATCCTCCGGGCGACTCGCGAGTGCTGACAGTGTGGCAGGTCTGCCACACGGGGGGCGGCTGCCAGCGGAGAGCCATCTGAAATGAAAGAGAATGGGAGAGACAGATGGATCGATGGATCGATGGACAAACAGGATCGGTGTCAGTGAGTGTGTGTGTGTGTGTATGCGACTTACCAGTCGGGTAAGGCGCTGCGAACTGGGTGCAAAAAACTGGTGCGCCACAACACGCCCGTCGGTGGTGGTCCCACCGATCCCACCGACGGGTGGTCCTGACCTCATCCTGACCAGACAGACAGACAGACTGACCGCGTGTGTGTGCATATTCCTCTCATTATTGTCTTCTGAGTCACTTGTACAACACGGCGGCGCGAACCGAATCATAGTCATTACCTGCCCACACACAGACACACAGGCAGGCAGCTTCAGACACGCACCCAAATGGTGGATGGACAGATCGGTTCTCACCTCCAAGTTGGCACACAGGGTCGGTCTCGTCGAATCGAGCTCGGAAGGAGCTGTCGGCCGGCAGTGTCTGCAGGGTGCGAATGGTGAGACGATATCCATCCAGCCATTCCTCGCCAAGCATTCGTTGCAGCGTCATATGCAGTGTGGTGTCGCCTTGCAAGTGACGCCAGAGAAGGGAGAACTGCCGCAACGGCTCGCACCGCCCGTCGAACAGCGCCCTGCTGCCCACCCCTTCGAAATCCTTTTCGCGCAGCGGTATCGGCAATCCCCAAAACACCCGCCCATGCTGCTCGGCCACCCTGAGGATCGGCGTCCACCTCGACCACTCGCCCCCGTGCTGGATGATGTACAGAATTTTCTGGAGCAGGTCGAGGGATAACGTCGATTCCCAGCTGTTCGGATGATAGCTGACGAGGTCCTGCATACGCTTGGCGGCGATCTGGCGGTCAATCACCGACGTGAGTGTCGCCTCGGAGATGCGCTGTATGCCGAGGGTGCACGTGCGTCGGAGGCGGCCGAGGCCGTCGGCGCCCACTAGAGGGAAAATGACCTCACACTCGATTTCATAGGGGAGGTCGAACAGCCGAAGCTGCTCGTCATGCTGAAAAAGGCGGAGAGACAGACGGCAATGAGAAGCGTGTTGCTCGTGGCACTGCCTTTTGTGTGTCTGGTACCGTGTTGCCGCCATCCCGAGTCACAGGACCGTTGGCAACAAACCGGAAGCCCTCGTGCACCTGCACACTCAGTCGGACGGATACGCACACATCGTGAATTGATCCAGAGGTCGTATGCCTGTCTGTCTTCGTGTGCACCTGTTGGGCGTGCGGGGATCTGTTTTTGTGATGCGGCACCACCACACGGAACTCCTCGTGTCGGCCGTCCACCTCCCGCATCCTTAGCGCCGTCCCTTCATTGGTCTCCTCTGTGCGATAGACAGCCGCCACCACCCACTCCTGCTCGCCCTTCTCGCGCCCGGCCGTCACCATCCACACGCGAGCGCCCTCCGGGTGAGGACGAGCCGCATGAGGACGAGCCGCATGGGAGAGGGGCTCCATCTGACGCATTGATGAAACACAACCAACGAATGACCAACTGAAGGAATGAGAGGGGTGCATCATTCATCACACCTGTGTGTACCTGTGAGGCGCGAGCACCTCAAATGCTCAAAAGGCGGGTGGTCGCCAGATGGATTCGGAGGGCTTCTCGGGCGTCAATCACCTGCATCCGTCTTGAGTAGATTCCTCGTTTGTCTTTCCACTTACTAAGCCAGATTCTTACTAAGCCCCTAGCATCCCCTTCAGCTAAGCTTGCGGGCCTGAGGCTGGCCTGCTTTGTTGCCCTTCTGGCCTCTCTTTCCTCTGCTGTCTGGCTGTTCTGTGCATCTGGGTGTGGGGTGGATCAGTCGTGGGTGATGGGGCGGGCGTGCACTACTAGGCAGCTATGTTACTTCATCTTCAGCCAGTGTGTGAGGGGGACACACACATCATCTCATCGACAGCATCTCATCGACACAGCATTCTTACTTGCCTGCACGTTCTGCGCCTGAGGCTGGCCTGCTTTGTTGCCCTTCTGGCCTCTCTCTCCTCTGCTGTCTGGCTGTTCTGTGCTGTCGGCTGGCGAAGTGTCTTCCTTTTCTTTTCAAGAACGAGCAGTGGCTAATTTTTCATCTGAGCGCTGGCCACTTTAGACTTACGGACGCATTGATTGGACACACCATCTGCCCTCAGGGGCCGGGGCCTCGGTGCCCGTTAACGAACGAACGAACGAACGAACGAACGGGACGAGAGGTCGCCAAACAGCTCGCAAGCCATTCATTGCTCCTTCGAGAGATCTGATGTCGGCATTAGTCATCTGCATCGTCAACCTTGAGCCGATTCCTCGTTTGTTTTTCCACTTGCGCACGAGAGGTGTGTTCTGACAACTCTTCATGTCGACGGCGGCGAACAAAGAGCCACTGCAGGAGTACCAGTGAAGCGACAGGAGGGTTCGCGTCGTGCCGCCCCGCCGTTTTCTGCCGTTGCGGCTGGAGTACCAACGATGGCAGCCCAAGATGAGGACGAATATGGCGAATCCGAAGGTAGTATTGCTTATTGAGGACGATTGCAGCGAGGACAGGCATCCTTGCGTTCGCTCAGGTGACAGTGGTCGCGGTCCCACGCCGTTTTTCTTCCGTCCATCAGCTGGTGCGGCCAAGGCCAAACCGGCGGCCGCCAAGGCAAAGACGGCAGCCAAGCCCGCAGCCATGGACGAAGATGACGACGCCACAGGTCAGCCAGTGCACAAGACGGACAGACAGACAGGCAGACAGACAGACCACTCTGCGATCTTGGACATCTAATTCAAGTTCGGTGTCATTCAGACGAGGACGATGGTTCAGAAGAGGACCTGAAGGATAACAAGGAAGGAAGGAGTAATTCACACTGATCGGCACCCGAACAAACATTCGTGTGCTTGTTTCGTCCCTCTGTGTCGTGTCTGCTCGTTACTGCGTGCAGCCAAGGCTAAACCCAACGCGGCACCCAAGTCAGCGGCATCTAGGCGCAGCATGAAGGCCTCACCGAAGAAGCCCGTCGATGACGACTCGGAAACCGGTCTGTCAGTCAGTCAGTCCGAGCACACACGCCAGACGTGAACACTTCTGCATGTGTGTGTGTGTGTGTGTGTGTGTGTGTTTGTATGTGCAGACGAGGATGAGGCGCCCCGACAGAGGGCTCCGAAGGCCGGCGACAAGCGGAAGGCACAGCAGGCAGTCAGCCAGCTTGCTGAAGCCACCAAGGGAGGTACGCTGGTTGGGGTGGCGGCGGGGTAAGGAGGACTCAAAAGAAATCTCTCTTTCCTTTCTCTCCCTCTCTCTCTCTGTTGGTGCGTATCGAACAGGCGATGTGTGTGGCCGCAAAGTGTACGTGGGCAATCTGCCGTCCGGTGTGACAGAGAAACAGCTGCGCGAGGCCTTCAGTACTTGCGGCAGGATCGAGGAGCTTCACGTCCCCGAGAAAGGGGAGAGGGGCTTCGCCTTCGTCACATTCGCACACCTGGCGGGCGCCAAGAGAGCTCTCGAGTTCCGCGGGGCAGTCTTCCACGGCAGAAAGGTAAATGTCATGACACACAGCGCAGGGAAGGCATGGCATCGCAGAGCCACTGTGTGTGTGTGTGTGTGTGTGTGTGTGTATGCAGCTGCGCGTCGCCCACCCAAACAGTGGCAGACCAAAAGGACCCAAACCTGACAGGGTACCCCCTACTCGTTCATTCATCCATCCGCGCATTAATGTGTGTGTGTGTGTGTGTGTGTGTAAAATGCGTGTGTAGTTGAAGAGTTTGCTGCTTCACAACCTGGCCAAGAATGCCACCGAGGACGACCTGCACAACGCCTTCGAGGTTGCCGGTGAGATCGAAAACGTCCACATTCTCAAGAACTGGGAGACGCAGGAGGTGAGGGAATGACCACACCAGGACACACGCATTCACACGACCATCGGCGGCCATCACCTGCCCGCCTGCAGTCTCGTGGAGTGGCGTTTGTGAATTTCGCGACCGAGGAGGGCTGCCTCGCCGCCAGCCAAATTGATGGCGTCCGCATCAAGGGACAAACCATATCGGTCAGTCAGGCGGTCTGCCCACTGCACACAGACGCCACGTATGCACTTACGCGTTGTGTGTGTATCGGTGTGTAGATGAAATGGGGCCATGACAGAGGCGCTCGGGGCCGCGCCGCTGCTGCTGCGGCGGCCAATGGAGGTACGGGTGAATGCATCAAGATGGGATGGGATGAAATGGACACTCTTGTGTGCTGTTGTTCAGGTGAGGTCAGCGTCCGCGCTGTGGCGGTGAAGCGTGAGCACGACCCCTACGATGGCGAGGACGGGCAGGGGGGTGCGGAGGACATCAAGCAAGAGAGAGAGGCCGTCAAAGACGAGCCGCATGACGTCAGTGCGAACGAGGAGGCCGGTGAAGAGGATCTGCAGGACGACGGTGCGTATCAACGACGCACGCCTGAGTGTCGGTGTGGCTCTCTGTTTCTGCTCCTGTCACTCATGTGTGCAGACACCCAGCAGTGGGAGGCACGCCTCCGTGCGGCCTTCACCCGGAAGTGCACACACGGCTCCAAGACGCACGACTCAGCCTATGACGACCTCACCCTGGTCGCCGTCGACCGTAACACCAACTGCACGGTTGGCTTCTACGTGACGGTCGGGCCATTCTTCACCGATCAGGACGAAGACGGCCACGGGGTATATGTCAGGGCAGGAGTCTGGTGCGACTCGAGGAGCCGCATATGGGACTTCAGGGGGCTGACCACGAGGCTTCGCCGCGTTCGGGGCGGCGCCAGCTTGCAGGATCTCCTCGCCACGACAAAAAAGATGGTGCTGGGGCCAGATGGGAGGAAGATCATCAAGCACGACAAGGACACCGCCGGTCAGCGCAAGAGGGCGGCCAAGAGGTCGATTGAGAACGGCAGCGGCGAGACCCCTCCAGCCAAACAGCGCCGCGAGTCAGGTACACAGTAGAGGGACACACACAGAAAAGGGCTGCGTCACCATTGCGGCTGTGTCATTATGTGTGTGTTCTCGTGTCATCAGGTGTGTCTGCTGGATTGTCTGGTCGTCATGCAGCTGCCGCTGCTGCTGCTGCTGCTGCTGCCGCAGCAGCAGCACCTGAGCAGCTGAGTCAGATGAAGGCGCTGGTGCAGCTGACTCGCCGAGAGCTGATGAGGGCCATCAAAGTGGACCCTGACGACCTCATACGTGACCTTGCCGAGACAATGGACACGGTGAGGGAGAGAGGGCGGGTCGGGTCTGGTTGTGTGACGGCTGATAGGACTCAATGTGTTGTGCTGTCTGCCATGCCTGCCTGCAGCACAAGATGAACGGCGCTGCGTTGGCCGACATCGGCCAGATGGACAAGGAGGAGATGCTCAAGGACATGGAGCACTTAGGCATCACGGCATATGGCCAGCAGCGGGCCCTCAAGCGATGGATCAAGCACGCCATGGACAGCGGCGGGGTACCACACCACACACAGACTATGTGCGTGGATTGGCCGATGGATGACATGTCGTTCTTTTCCTTGGTCAGGTCCGTGTGCCAAGTGCCAAGGTGGCCCAGACCGACGCATCCATGGAGAGAGGCTGATAGTGCGCAAGCACATTGGGATGAGGTGATGTCATGCAAGCCATTTTTGCCTGATGATGTGGCCTCCGGCGTTGGCTAGCTTCAAGTGTGATGGTGCCCTGCCGCGGTTGGGAGTGATGGTGCGGTGAGATCGGGATGTATGTGCGTTGTTTTTCTGGACCCTCGTTGACGCATCGAGTGGCATTTATGGACATTCAGAGTCCTGACACATGCATCATGTGGATTCACTCATTCTTGCCTTAAGACGGTAGGAGTGAGCGAGCGGCCAACCAGCCGTCAGCCATCAGCCATCAGTGCATCCGCCGATGAAGCCACACACTCACACCCAGCCACATAAGAGAGAGAGAGATAGAGAGAAAGACATAAGACAGACAGAGAGAGCAAACAACCAACCGAGCATGGCGCTCAATTCGCTTGGAAAAGGCAGCAGGCAGCAGGTAGCTACGATACACGCGAAAAGTCCCCATTTCATTCTATCTCTCTTACAGCCATCGGCCGTCGCTCGATCGGAAGTCGCTGGTGTGTTCGTCTGTTAGGTCGACCACGCCATCCGCCACATCAAGAGCGATGGTTGTCGCTCTCGACGCCACGAACAACATGAGTCAGCAACAGACGAACACCCAGCCACTTGACGGACACACGGAAAAGCCCCCCGTCATACACAGACAAGACATTCGCCATCCCCCGTTTGTGGACAAAAGATACCATAGCATTCGCGTCTGTCTATGTGTGTTGCAGCCTTCCGCCGTCGATCGACCGCCACTGGGTGTGTTCGTCTGTTGTGTCCGCCACCCCCTCCGCCTCACCAAGAGCGATGTCGACGAGAGGGAGAGAGTGGCCAACATACCAGACGAACATCCACGCAGGGCGAGACTCGACAGACCACATACACACCTACGCGTAAACAAGGCGGTCACCCAAAAAGAGATGCAATAGAAAGCCAAAGAGATACACGCATAAGAGAGGGAGAGAGAGCCAGGCAGGCAGGCAGGCAGGCAGGCCGCCAAAAATATCAGAGCAAGCTGAAAGGCGCTCGCTCGATGTCTGTCTGAGTCTGTCCCCTTCCCTCCCTATGCACACAGATACTCTCAAACATACACAGCCATGTGTGCATAAAAACCGTTGTGCATTTCGCTAAGTGCATCCATCCATCCATCCATCCCGCCACCCCACCAAACCACCTCCCCAGCCATGTAGCCGCTATCTACCGAGGCGTGCGTCTTCAACAAGTCGTCTACCGACCCGTCCGTCCGTCTTGTTCGTCATTTGTCGTCGTCGCATGGTGCGACGTGGACGCCTTTGCACGCCTTGCTGTACTGCTGCTTGAACCGGCTCAGCTGCTCCCGCACCTGGTGCTCAACCCGGTCACGATACCTACACACACACACACGCACACACACACACCAGAACCACACAATGAGGCACACCACACCCACGTGCGGCTCTGCTGTGCATTTGTGTGAGGTGTCCATCTCCTCACCTGAGCTCAGCCGGCGTCATCTGGTGGAACCTCTGCGGGTGCGTCAGATGGTCCAAACCCCCTTCCCCGCCCTCGCCCCCTCCCTCCCCCTCACCCAACATCATGTCATGCTGCCCGTGGTGACCCTGCTGGTGTGTGGGCGTGTTGCCGTTGGATGACAGCTGCAGCCGGTCCATGCCCATGTTGAGGTCCATTGCGATGCCCACGTCGTTGCCCGATGAGGGAGGGGGGAGGGGGAGGGGGAACGGGACGGGCAGGGGCACGTCGACAGGGCGGGCGGCGTGGCTCTGCTGCTCAGCCCACAACTGGTACTTATAGCTCATGTTGTCGCTAAGACGAAGCCGCTTGGCCCTAGGCAGTGAGAATGGCCGGTTGCCGCTGCCGCTGTGGTGGACCGGCCTCCCCTCCCTCTCGTCGACATCCATGTCTACGTCACCACCGCCGCCCGAATCGCCGTCATGCGGCCGGCTCTCGCCCCTGTCGTTCTGGTAGATGGACGCATGGGACCGTTTGAGCCTCACAGGCGTGGAAGCCGGCGCGTTGGGCACGCTGGGCGGCTGGTGGTGGGCTGGGAAGTGGTAGGGGTCCATCGGATCAGCCGGACGAGGGGTGAAGGTCTTCACACATGACACGCCGACCCTCTACGAACGGTTGCGGCGGCGAGTGGGGTGCCGGTGTTCGCCAACAGACGCCGAAGAGCGCCAAAAGAGCGCTGAAGAGAACGCAATTGGCGAAGGTTGAAAACGGTGTGCTCCTCACAGGCTCCTCACATCAACAACAAGCCTTGAAGGCTCCTGTTCCTCTTTTCCCTTTTTGCTTCGAGCTCGCAAGACATTTGTTTTCCGGTTTGTTGGAGTTGAGAGTTGTTGGAGTCGAGTTGAGAGTTCGTGTCCATCGCCTCTTGACAGATCATGAGCACAGCGGTGGACGCCCAGCCGGCAGCTCCCGCGCCGCATGCCGAGCACGACGATGACGACAAGTTGGTCGAAGAGGAGGTGGTGCATGGCGACTGGGCCACGCCACAGGTGCGTCACACAGGCACACATCACACACACACACGCATCCACCCACATCCGCAACTTCATGCAGCTGTGATGTGATGCCGGGAGAGATGGGGAGGCGGGGAGACAGTTACCATGTGTGTTGGCGTTGGTTGGTGCAGGTAGAGGTGCATGAGGTGGAGGCCGCTACGGGTGAGGAGGAGGAGGACGCCATCTGGAAGCAGCGCGCCAAACTCTTCCGATGGAGCCCGGGCACAGGTACTGCACACGACCTCACTCACACGCCGAGAGCGAAACGACGCACGCATATGTGTGGGTGGTGTGTGTGTGGATGGGGTGCGTGTGTGTGTGCAGGTGATGACGGCAAGGGTGAGTGGAAGGAGCGCGGTCTGGGGGAGGCCAAGTTGCTGCAGCACAAGACCACCAAGAAGGTGCGCTTCCTCCTGCGGCAGGAGAAGACACTCAAGGTCGTCGCCAACCACTACGGTCGGTCAGACGCACAAACACACGAACCAACGAGATACACACACGCACAACCACGACTCATGCCTCCGATTGCGTGTCGTGCTGTGTCGTGCTGTGTCGTGCTGTCGTGTGTTGTGTGCGTTTCTCATCAGTTACGGACCACGAGGGCTACTGCAACCTGGTGCCCAACAGCGGCAGCGACAAGATCTTCTGCTGGACCGTTCCCGACTTCGCCGAAAACGAACTTGTCACCGAACAGTTCGGACTCAAACTCGGCACAACAGAAAGTCAGTGAGCCAATCGCCCTCACCCACTCCTCACTGCACGGCCCAGATAGATGCATCTATCTGGTGTGTTTGTGTCTGTCCCGTTGTGTGCAGAGGCGAATGAGTTCAAGGATATGTTTCTGAAGGCCAAGGAGATCAACCGAGAGGCCATCGCCGCCGCCAAGGGCGAGGGAGCCGACACCGACAAGACGGAGGCCGCCGAGGACACCAAGGACGCTGCGGCAGACAAGCCTGACACCAACGGCGACAAGAAGGAGTGATCGCAGGAAAAACGGGTGTGTGAATAAGCTAGCTGATAGCGTTACAGCAGTGGGGATGGGGATGTGGAGAGGGGGAAAGGGGGAGGGAGAGAGAGGGGGCAGTTTAAGGGCACATCCATATGTATGAGAGGGGTGATGCGATGGCATGCAAGACGGTGTGCGGCGGCGGCTGGCTTTTCTACCCAGAATGCACGCACACGCCCCTGTAGCTGACTGGCCGTTCTGTCTGTCCGTGTAAGTTTGTCAAAGTGAGTCTCTATGTGTTTGGGGGATGGATGGATAGTACGATGAGGCCGTCTTCGCATTCGACGGCCCCTCATAGATCGTGCTGCCCGTCCACCTCCTCTCGCAGACACGTAGAGACTGCACACGACGCACACAAAACTACATATCAGTGACTCGTTATCTTTGCCACATGATTTGTGTATCAAATCTACTCAGCAAGACATGAATGCGCCAGCAGCAGCGTTTACCTATTCATTGAATCTTATTCGTCCCATTCATCGTTTCATGCTCTTCCATCGTGTGGATAGTTGGAAGGAAGGAGGAAAGAATAGACAGACAGCCGGATTTTTGCCTGCCCTTCCAGGTCTACAGGTCTGACACAAACCCATCAGTAGAATGGCCTCAGTGAGTGAGTGATGAAAGCAATGAGTGGCAGAATGACCTCCCATCAGTTCATCACATATCTGTTAAATATTCATCTGCCCAGAGGCAATGTGTGTGTGGGATGTCCGCCACCCCCCACCCACCCACCCACTCACCCACACACACACACGCACGCACTTGCTTATATGCAATCGGATGCCCGCGAGTCAACCAGCCCGTCAGCCATTCTATCTACAGCCTACAGTCAGTGTCTGGTCACTCCTCCGCAATGCTGCCGGCACAAGGCTAGATATCGATACGCCAACCTGACACGACACAAACGGTGCGTGCACATCCCCCCGCCGCCCTCCCGCCTCCTTGCCCGTCTCATCTCTTTTGATGTGCGCACCAGGTCGTGTGGCATGTGTGCATCTTCTATGGGCGTCTCGCGATGGTGAGGCAGCTGCCCACCATTTCCATCTTGTACTTGTCGCTCAGCAGGTTGAAGGTGGCATGGCGGTCGTTGAACAAGCGCCGCACATCCAGCTGCAGCCGCGCAGCCCAGATAAGGGCCGACGCCTTGCGCGCGGGGGGTCTGGAGCCAATGGGTCTGGAGACAAAGCCGGCAAGCACCGCTACCAGCGACCCATAGAACTTATCGACCGTCACACCGACACGCGGATTCTCTGCGAACGGCACATGTCGTTTGATACATATTTGCCTGCCCCCCTGCCTCCCTGTGCTTTGTGCTTTGTGCTTTGTGTGTATTTTTGCGCCCCTTACCGTACACATGGAACTTGACTTCCTTGAAGGCCGGCCGGTTGTGGCTGGCCCACTCCTGCAGAGGCCGGCTATGCTCCAAGATGCTCGATGCCGACGTACTAATCGTCAGTGATTCGAATGCCCTCTTGCTCCCGCGCAGCTGGCGCGTCATTGCGTCGAGCAGCGACATGACCTGGATGAGTGACGCGCAAGGGGGCCATGGCCCGAAATCGATGTGGTTGCATTGGGGCATGCCGGCGGTGACGGCCTTGGCGAGGCTATCGACGGTCTGCTGGGAGGGGGGAGTGTCGGTGTTGTAGGTCAATGCGTAAGCGCGGGGGAAGTGTGTGGTAGTGGCAGTGCCTGTCAGGTCTCCACCACTGTACCGCACGTCGCGGACGAGGCCGACAATGTCACCCACAATCTTCTGCACTTGATGGTCGACAGCAGAAAGCAAAATCGTCCCCGATGGCGTGAAAGTACTCCACCCCGCGGCCAATCCAAGAACAAGCTTCTGCACCTGATGGCATACGGACACGCATAGATCATATTTGCCCCACGGGTGTCGTCACGGTGCATGTAGCAGGCACACACACCTGAGGTGACTTGTCGGCTGCCCATTCGACCAGCGATATGTCTGCTCTACAGTTCTGGGTGACCGTCAGCTGGTCGAGGGCCTCTGGCCGCATCACCGCCTCCGCCAACCGCCCCACCTCAAGCAGCAGCTTCTTGTCCTCTGCGTCGGCGGCATCAATGTGCAGCTTGCGAAGGTTGTGGCGGCAGCCCCGGCTAACGAGCGTCTCACGCAGCGCGACGACCGTGTCGCTCTCAGCTCGGTACAAATCGATGGGGCCGATGGACTGGAGGCGGGAGAGGGACCTGCCGTCCTTGGGGGCCGTGGACAACAGGCCTTGCTTGACGCTCAAGAGAATGACAACAGGCCTTGCTTGACGCTCAAGAGAATGGTGTCCACATCGAACTTCTCCAGATGCTCGCACGCCTCCATCCAGCAGCTATGATTGCTCTTGATGTCCTCTACGCCATAACCCTGCTCCCGCCCGAATGTCAGGACTCGCAGACGCGGCGCGCGCCACACCCGCCTGCCGGCGCGCACGGCCGCATACTGGCAGGGCATGTTGTGCACCTCCTCCAGGTTTGACAGGTCGACGGGGGAGGGGGGCAGCGGCTCCGCCGACGTGTCGCAGCGAAAGCTGCTGTCGTGGTCGTCGTCGAAGCTGATGACTTTGATGGACGAAGCGGGCTGTGGCACATGGTGTGCCGGCCGTGCTGTCCCCTCCTCACCCCCCTCCTGCTGCACCTTCTTCTCCTCGTCGTTGATGGCCTTGCGCGCCGCCGCATTGCCCTCGATCAATGCCACCCAAGTGCCACGGCACCAGCGGCTGATCGACTCGAAGGGCAGGATGGTGTGCAGATGCGTCAAATGGCTCGCGCGCTGCCCCCACTTGTAGGCTGTCTTGTGGGGCATCCGCCCCCACAGCTGGCGCACGCCGCCCTTGGCCGATCCGTCGATGGTCAGGTGCGTGTAGTTGGCGGCCGCCGCGTCGAAGAGGGCCTGGCCAAGGACGCGGCGGCGATGCGTCAGCTCCCAGGGGTGGAAGGAGCCGAACACGTTGGCGAGCTCGTCACGAGAGAGACGGAGCCGGCCCTTCAACACAGACAGACACGTTGACACAAAGGTATATGATTGAGTGTGCAGAGGTGGCGGGTCGTTCGCTTCGTGTTCTCACCGGCGGCTGGTTGGGTGGCTGTCGTCCCGATACATGGACCTGTCGATATGAAGGCTGCTGTGGGGCAGCGACACTCAAATCGGAATCAGCTGCGGCCACCTGAGTCAAGCGCAATGACAACAACGAACACAGAGAACCGTCTCCACCCCTTCCCTCCAACTCATTGTCAACGTGTGTGTGTGTACCTCAGCGGCTGGTCCGTCTGGCGATGCGTCGACAACATCCATCTCACCACCACTCCCACTACCACCACCGACAATCGCTGCAGCGGGCGAGCCGGAGTCGTTCGTGTGCTGTGGGCCATCTAGCGCGGCCGCAGCTGTGCCGCTCGCCTGCTCTGTCGGATCTAATGCTGCCACTGTGGTGATTGCCTCCAGCCCCGCCGACACAGCAGACTCGGCAACTCGGAATTGACCCGACGCAGCCCCGAGCGAGAGCAGCGCGGCCATCGTGTCACCAGATGCACCGCCCTGACGTAGACGCACATCGCAACTCAGCTGCCACATTGCACAGACGAAAGGGAAGACAATTGTGTGTGCTCGGTGCCGGGAATCTCAGGCACTCACCTTGATTTTGTTATGCAGCTGCCGGATCTTCTCAAGCAATACATCCCCCTCGGCACGCAGCTGCACGACAACACACAGGAAGCAAGACAGCCGTGTGTGAGCAGACCCACAGATAATCACATGCGCGTGTGGTTGGGCTGTTGGCTGTCTGTACCTCGCTGATGCTGGCAGGAGCCATACTCGCACCGGCCGCCTGACCCGACCCCGCCATGAAATCCTCCGATGCATTACGGTCGGTGATCCTCCATTGCCGACAACAAGAGCTACTGGATGAGTCAGGAGGCCGCTCGCTCATGGCCATTCCTATCGACGACCTCCGAATGTGGCGGCGGGGAGATGGAATGAAGCAGGGTTTCGGGTCAAGGGTTTCGGGCACGACAAGACGCCGCCGACGAATGGATGAGTCGATGAGTACCAGATGGTGTCTGATGGTGATTCTTGTATGTGCCGCCTTTCTTGCCCTCTCATCGTCGCTCGTGGCTTGCTCGCCCATCCGGCGAATCCTCCAGCCCGCAAATGATTCGGATCTCTCTCATCCCCTCCCTCCCGGCTGGCGTGATCCAAGGCGGCTAAGGCTCCTGCAACTCTCTCCGGTCTTCCGTCCCGCTGATGTAGATGGCGAGGTCGACAGTCACTGCTGCGACAACATTCTTCCCTATACCGAAATGGAGGAGCTGGTTCGGTGCGATTCGTGTCAGGAGGATGCGGCGGCTCTGTTCAAGTGGTCTCGCGAGGCCGGATTGGTCGACAACGAGACCAAGTCCATATTTGAGGACAACCTGTGCGTCGTGTTCTTCATCACGTGTGTGCGGCTGAGTGAGGCGCTGGCGGACGGCGGTCCCGGGGAGGGCTACATCATCTGGCTGTCCAACCACATGGACACGGATGTTTATCTGGTCTTGCAGCAGCGAGGCTGGAAGCCTCTCGTCTTTTCGGGATCTTTCTATCGGCTGCGCCATGTGGTGTGCTTGTCAGCGTATCAGTTGCCTATGCAGGGAAGCTTGAGTGATGAGATCGCCAAGGTGACTTCGCTTCGTGCTATCTTCCTGGCCTATATGGTGAGTCACATCTGAGGCAAACATTCATTCACACGCATGCTCGTGCGTATGTTGCTTTGCAGAACGGCATGGAAGGGATTCTTCCAGCTAGAATTGGCGAGCTGCCTTATCTCAAGGGCTTGTACCTCTGGGGCATGAATACAATTGGACCTTTCCCATCGTCCATCACGAAGCTATCCCGCCTCGAAGCTCTCGATATCGCGGGCACCAATATTTCAGGGCCCATCCCTCAAGATATCGGCAGGCTCCGGCGCTTGCGCGTTCTGAGGATGTGGGCTAACGAGCGGATGGAGGGCCGCTTTTCGGCCAGTGTTACGTCTTGCCGTAACCTCTCCGAGATGAGCCTCCTGGCAACGGGCCTTACAGGCCCTCTGCCCGGCGATCTAGGCGCCCTCTCTCGGTTGGTCGAGCTGGATCTTACTGGGAATTCGCTTACCGGGAAACTGCCTGAGTTATTGGTACAGCTGAGCCGGCTGCAGAAGCTGGTTCTAGTCAATAATACCTTTAGTGGCCCACTGCCCAACGGACTTGGCACCAACATGGACAGCCTAAAATCGCTCGGTCTCACACACAATGACGTAAGCCACAACGTGTGGAGACATGTGTTTAGACCGACACGTGAATCTAGACTGCTTTTCTCAGTATTCCGGTCCGCTGCCGTCTTCCCTGGGCAATGCGAGAAACCTGACGGGACTCTGGATCGAAAAAACAGGCCTGAGCGGCGTCATTCCATCAAAACTAGGGCAGCTGGCTAAGCTTCGCGAGGTGTATCTTTCTAACAATCAGGTAAGAACCCGTTAACGGTTTTATGCCACATCTTGCCCTGCCCATGTTTGCTGCTTATGCAGCTCTTCGGTGACCTCCCGAATACGCTGAATGGCTGGAAGTCGGTCGAGCATCTCAGTTTACATAACAATAACCTAAGCGGCACCCTCGAGCCGCTCAGCGCTCTCACGTCGCTCAGGACACTGTGGATTGGCAACAACTCGGTGAGAACCATCATATATAACAGGTCGACAAGAGTTTGTATCTCATATGGCTACGTTTCAGTTTGAAGGGTATGTGCCTATCGGCTTCCGCGATTTTGAGAATCTCACTGAAATATCCGCAGCCAACAATAGGCTGGCCGGTTGGGCCGATTGGACGGGCGGCAACCTCAGTGTGAGGGAGTATCACAGCCTTCGTCAGCTATACATGTCATCCAACCGAATCAATGGCACTCTGAAACCTTTAAGCCATCTCATATCACTCAGAACACTGTTGATAAACAACAACTTGGTGAGACCAGACAACGACAAAGAGACGTATGACATAGAACACTACGAGTTGCTGTGTCATCGTGCTTTGTATTGCAGCTGTCAGGGTCGATACCAGCTGAGCTTGGCCAGCTGACCGAGCTCCGGAAAGTGTACCTTCATGACAATCAGGTACAAAACCTAAATACATGACTTCGTGTTCTCCATTTTTTTCTGTGCAGCTTTCCGGTACGCTGCCGGACACATTGAGTGGCTGGAAGTCGGTCGAGTATCTCGCTATTGATCACAACAATTTTTCTGGCACCCTCGAGCCGCTCAGCACCCTCACGTCCCTCAGGCAACTGTGGGTTTCCGACAACTGGGTGAGGGCCATGAATTATAATTGGCAGTGAGCTGGTGAAAGCTTGTGCGTGCTGTGGCTATGTTTTAGTTTGAGGGCTACCTGCCTGCCGGCAAGTTTGAGAATCTCAGTGAAATCCACGCAGCCAACAACCGGTACGCTTCACGCTACACAGACGCTGACGCATGGGCCTGTGAATTGATCGGCAGGTTGGTCGGTTTGGTAGAGGAGCATAGCCTTCATGGCGCGTCGTATGAGAGCCTTCAGTTGTTGCGTCTGCCTTCCAATCGTCTCAACGGGTCCGTGAACTTATCTGTCTTCCCCAAGCTTGAGGAAGCCTATCTTGGGAGTAATCTCATTACGGGGCTCACCGGCAACCTCCCACAGTTGTCAGTGAGAGACAAATTCCGCTCACACAAAGGAAATGCCAGATGTGCTGTGACTGTGACTGGTGTTTTGGGTGTCAGGTTGCAGTCTTTGAACTTGCGCAACAACCTGCTAACCACCTTGCCGCAAGGCTTCCGCTCAATGCCCAACCTGAAGAGACTATACCTCGCCAACAATCGCATTAGCCAGTGGCCCAAGTGGGGCTCTACACCGGAAGGCGTCTGCCACACACAGGAAGGGCTAAGTGAGCTGAGACAAGATACACGCACACACACACGCACACACACATGCAGCTCAGGGTTTGTATGTGTTCATTGTGTGAATCTGTGTGAGAGAAGATTGGGGAGAGTGGAATATGTCCAGTTTGCTGTCTGCCGTGGATCCGCCTGACTGGAACAGCCTGTATGAATTAGACGTCTCCAACAATCCGATCATGACAGACGTGACTGACTTCCTCATGCCCCTTAAATGGCAGGACAAGTAAGTGAAATCCAATGGCTTTCTATCATTCGTTTTCAGATCCGTCTCTTTGTGTGCGTGACAGTTTGATGGCGCTGGATGCATCAAACTGCAGTCTTCACGGTGCGATGCGTTGTGAGGCTTTCCTGGTGTTCCCCCGTAGAATGCTGAATCAATCCGCATATGTAATCTATCATTCACATACACAGGCACACGCATAAAACATCACTCTTTTCTGCGTGTGCACAGATTGAGGACCTGTTTCTAGTAAAGACTGCATTTTATCAGCTGGGATCCATCTCTTTGAAGGACAACAATATCACCGCCATCGAGACATTTCAGGCGTTTTACGCGTCCGACTCATCGCTCTACCACGTCGACTTCCGCAACAACTCACTAATAAGAGTGGGAAGGCTCGACTCTGTCTTGTTTTCATCCGACTACGCAAGATTCACACAGAACCCGGACTTGAAAAGAACGCAAACCGGGGTATGTGTCAGCGATACACCCATTGAGGTGAGACAAAGACGAGCGGAGCGCTTATATACGTGTTGGTGGCCGATATATATGTATTTCTCTGTGTGTTGTGGGGGTATGTATGTGATTTAGAAGTGTCAGGATTTCCGTCGATCCAGCAGTACGCATCACGCCTTCAGCCGATGTCCAGCATTGACTGCATACGACAAGCCACAGGTGACGCCACTACTGCCTGACCCGCAAGGTACGACAGGGTTCTCCTTGCAGTGTAGTGCACATCATTGCGCTCATACACATGGTTGGTGCAGGATATGTCGTGCAGAGGTTGGACAATGGTGAGGAGCGCTTTGAGTGCACGGAGTTCTGCTCCGTATTCAACAGACTTGAGGTACGGAGAATAACACAAATGCACAGCACTCTCCGCGTACTGTGCTCACTCGCCACTGCTCGCACAGGTCGACTACACCTTCGACTCGGATGCCCTGTGTCGGTGTCTGCCTGGATATGAGGGCATTGGCATCAACTGCACCAAGTGCCCACCTGGCACATACAGCAATAGACAAAACGGCACACAAAGGTGCAAACAATGCCCTGATGATGCAGGTCAGACGCAACAGTCATATGACAGTAAGCTGAGCCCTTGCGATTTTCGTTGTTGGTCTGTTTGTGTGTCAGCAGGTTCTGATGAGGGTTTAGGTGCGTGCTATTGCCATCTTGGCCACCAGCGCGGCGAGGAGCCGTGCGAGCCGTGCATCGCTGGGTCAGTTGGCGTGCGCAAGATTGGTAGTGGCGGCAGTCGCAGCACGTGGATCTGCCAAGATTGTTTGCCTGGATTGAACTGCTCTGTTCCCATCAACTATAATGCGAGTGTGCTGCCGGGATTCTTCCAGCTCACTGTCCAGCTGCAATCTGACGATTCATCTCACAACGCCACACGGGAAGTGACAACGTAAGATAAGCGTTTTGTCAGGAGCCGTGTGTGAGAGTGGCAATGTTTTGGTGTGTCTCAGATATGCCGCTGGGTTGACCCTCTTGCCAATAGCCATGCAGTGTCCATTGGCATCGGCCTGCAAAGGCACCAACAAAACGGATGGGCTCAACACATGCTTGGTAAGTATGCGTCATCTCTGAGTGGAGCTATTCTGGTGTGGTCCTTTACACTCTTGCCTTGTCTGTGTCAGGAAGGACATGAGGGTTTTGTATGCTCTCGGTGGAAGGCGGGCTTTTCGCGTCATACGCCCCAGCAGCCGTGCGCCCGATGTGTCTCACTATGGCAGATTATCCTCTTCAACGTGTTATTCGTGGTTGCCACTCTGATAGCCATCTTTATACTCACGGCACTCGCAGAAAGGTCAGCACTCAGCGATGCACCTGTCACAAAAGTCCGCTGATCGATCGATCTCTGTGTTGTGTATGTGTGTGTGTGTGTGTTTCCTCAGGGCTTCGTCGTCTCCGCGCGCTGAGATCCCCTCTCAGCTGATCAAAATTGGACTCTCGCACATCACCGCTGTGCGTGAAGAGACGCACAGACACACACACTCACCTCTCATTGTCTCCTTGCTGTCACTGTGTGTATGCAGGTGTGTGGTCTGGCCTTTCTCGTGTTTGACGAGTCCCTCTGGGGCAACCAGATATCCTCACTGGTCGGCAGCTTCTTCGCCTGGAACTGCGGCGTTCCTCAGTCGTATCAAGTGTGGGAATGTCTGTTGAGGCCATATGTGGGCGATAAATGCGTGCTGTACCGACACGCCATGTGGCTGGCTTTGCCACTCGTCTGGCTGACCGCTGCGCCACTGATTGGTGAGCAAACACAACTACTGTAGTCTGCAGGCTATGCATTGTGGTCGTTTCTGCCCTGTCGTTTCATGGCTGCAGCGAGTGGATTTGACAAAGCGCGTGATGCCTTCAAGTCGAGGCGGCGCATTGGCAGTGACGAGTCGACCTCATTCGCGACCATCGACAGCTACTTCCGAGCCCTGTCAGCGCCTGCATCTGTGATCACTGGCAAGGCGGACAAGGCTGCGGCACACGGGCCTCACCACCGATTGGTCACATTTCAGGAAGACATTCGGACCGAACCAGTGACGCCTCCGTCCTGCCAGCATTCGTCAGCGGAGCCCTGCAAGAGCGGCCGATGGCGGCAGTGGCTGGACAGCCGGGGAGGCATGATGGTTGTGATCCTCACATTTATCCACCCAACCGTGACCAAGAGCATGCTGGCCCTCTTGCGCTGCCGGCCTTACCCCTATGTGGACGCGATTATCCCTATCGCCTCAGGAGAGAGTGTCAGCCTACTCTCACCCAATCCGATGGATGACACGCGGCCTGGGATGGATCTCGATTCCCGTGTCATCTGCCGATCGGGCGAGCATGCCCCTTTCTTGTGGATTGCCGTGGCTGGTCTCTTATTGTGGACCTTCGCCCCAGTGGTATGCGGCGTGGCATTCCTATGGCGGTACAGAGACAGCCTGGACGACCACCACACGCGTAGAAGGGTGGGCTTCCTGTATGTCGGGTATCGCAAAAGCTTCTACTATTGGGATTTCGTGCTGGCCATGAGGCGCGTATTGGTGTTGTTGATAGCACAGCAAGCGACGGCGCAGCCCCGCCAGCAGCTGCTGGGATGGACTGTGGTCGCCAGTGTGTGTCTGGCGCTGCAATTCGCTATTTGGCCGTTCGACCGGGGCAGCATGGACATACTCAATCAGTCTGAGCTGCGTGGGCTGCTGGTGTGGCTCAGGTCGCTGTTCAGCATGCACTTCGTCGTCATGCTGCCCGAGGGGACCTCTCTTGTGCTGACGATCGGCTTCGTGCTGGTGGTGATTGCGGCCAATCTGGTGCACTACATCATGCTGGTGGCGCAGATATGTCGGTATGGTCTGCTGCATGCCACAAATACACGGCACTCGGTGACCGCAAGAAGGCTATCGGTGAGCAGCGGAGCAACACAGAATGACCATCTTTGTTTACCTGCCTGCTGGTGTCGTCTCATATCGTTTCATTTAGCCCGTTTGCTGGCTGGTTGTTTGACGGGCCCTCTGGTGTCGTGGCTCATCAACAGAGAGGAAGACAAACGGCGCGTCTCGCCCAAGGTCTTCTATGACTGGTCCACCGCGGCCCTCTCTGCCGACGGCCCCCCCACTGCGTCATGGCGGTGCCTTCCCTCTTTTGGCCGGCCGGTGCATCGTGTGGTGACGGCCATGCAGCTGACGTCAGCCGCCGTGCAGGACGCCATTGAGGCACTCAAACTCACACACGTGCCCAGCGACTTGTAAGCACACGAACCGGTGAGGGCTCGTTTAATCCTTCTGCTGTCTATGTGTGTGTATGTTGGTTTGTTCAGCCACGAGTTTCTGTGGAGCCACGCTTTCCTGGTGCAGAGCCTGCGACAGAAGCGAGTAGAGACGCGCAGCCGATGGCGAGGCCATGTGGTTGTCCATTTGCCCAGACCTGACGACCGCACAGTCACGGTAAGTAAGGCGAAGGAGAGAGGACCCCCGTGTGTGTGGTCGACCAACCCGCGTGGGTGTCCAGGGTCTGAGGCACATGAAGACGAGCGACCTCTCCAATGTGTTTCGCATTCAACGCTCTAGCGACGGTTGGTTTACTGCCTCCGCAGTGACACGCACCACACCTATCGGCTCATGGTGTGAATTGATTTTGATGTGTGCAGTGTCGACGCAATTGGAGGCCGGCAAGACGTCCAACGATGAACCAAGTGGCCAGCCGGAGCTCTCAGACGTGTCGTCGGGCATCACATTGCACGACCTACAGGCCAACTTGTGCTATGTGGTGGACGAGCTCGGCAGCAGAGAGCAGATGCACCAGGCGGCTTTAAGGCGGACGGCCGACAGCAGCGATCTGGAGAACGCCGACACCGAGGTCCCGACAGACCAACAGCCGCACACTGGCGGATGGCGGGGGCTCTATGAGGCGTTCCGCAAGGCCAAACGAACACTCATCGAGGAGGGCAGCCCACCGGTCAGTGTGAGACAGTCACGTTTGGTGCTCGTGTGTGTCTGTGCATTTGGTCCCCTGTGTTGTTTGTTCTGCTTCCTGCAGGATGCCATCCCGGAGGTTCTCGCGAGCTTCGCACCCACTGTGGCCACAGTGGTGGAGCCGCCATGTGGCGATGCAGAGGATGTGCCGATGAGTGGTGAGTCGTCGCCCGTCAGCTCGACCCAATCGCGGCACAGCGACGCTCACACCTCCGCCCTGACGCCCCCCTGCAACCTAATGCGAGTCGATTGGCATCGGCTGAGCAGTGACGAGAAGGACAGCGTGGCATTGTCTGTGTCAGCCGAGGCCGTCTATGATGCCTGCAGTGGCCTTTCTGCATCGTGTTCAGCCAACAGTGACGATTGATGATGTTTGTCTCCGCCAGAAACGTCGTAGTCGACGTGTCTACTATAGCTGAGTCAATGGCCATGGGCACCCGACGGCTTTTTTCATGCTGTGAGTGTGTGAGGGCGCATTCCTTTTCGTCGGTCGAGGGCAATCAATACACTCGATCTGCGCATGTATATACATCGTCGCATCGATCGATCGGGTGTTGTGTAGTGTGAGTCACTTTGGCCGCATTGTTTTGACTGGCTTGGTCGCCTGGAGGCCTTACTTAGGTGCATACAGTCACTCATTTGTATGGCAGGGGAGAGAGAGAGTCGCATGTGCGTCGTGACCGTGATGCGACTCTTAACGGTGTGGAATCCAACCGAGGCAACGCAGCGATTGAACATCAACACTCACGTACCAGTCATTGATGTACGAACACATCACCTCAGTATAATGTCTGCGGTCTACGCATCAACGCAGACAGTCAGGCCAGGCAGCAGCAAACCGACCCACACACCACGCAACACACCGTGTGTGTGCACTGAAGTGAGAGCTTGATGGGCGGTGTTGGTCGCCGCGTCTCTGCCTGCACGCCGCTTCTGTATGTACACTTCCACCTAGCCGAACTGATCTTTCCCCTACACAGCCGCCTCAATCAAAGCCGCAGGTAGCTACCGTGTCGTTGTCCGCCCTCTCTGGCCCGCTCGAATCAACCGCCATCCGCAAACACGACTAATCTGACCACGCGCACACACACGTACACATCGAGAGGCAGCCGCATCCACACAGTCAGACCCGCCCGTATCGTACCTGACTTCATGCCAGCCAGTATGTCTGATCTCCTTCACTGTCACTGGGAAGCGTCCGATGCTCGAGCCGTCAGGAAAGGCGGCACGGATGGAGGGCAGGACAGCTCGACAGTACGCGAACAAACCAAAAAAGGAGATGTCCACAGTCTGCAGCCCGGGGAAGAGGCTGAAGAGGGCCGACAGGAGGGTGGATGTGAAAACGGCACGGATGCGACTGCCAGCATCCTCCACAGACACTGAACACACAAGTAGACGAGACAGCAATGGACAAGAGATATGGATCGCACGATTGTCTTTGCAAACTCACTCTCATCTAAATCGAACTTGAAACACAGGTTGTCTATCATCGGCAGATTGGTCAGGCCGGCAGCAGCTACCACGATCTCCTCCGTCCCCAGCTCCCCTGGGTCAATCGACACCTGTCGCACAACCCTCCCGCCCCCCAGCCCACCCAGCACGCCCAGCGCATCAACGGCAGGCGGGCCCAATGTTTCGACCTTGGCAACATGATTGGCCAGTTTGTCAGCCAGGAGACGACCGGCACTCACACCCAACCTGTCGTGGATGAGCAGGGTAGTTGCCCTTGGGAGTGGCTGGAGGTGCTCGATGATGGTGGGCTGAGGCGAGGGGGTGTGGGATGGGGGCGGCTGCTGGAAACTGGCCTGCACGAACACCGCCGCAGCGCGATCGAATGAGAGGCTGGAGGCGACGTCGACGGCCGCATCGCTGGGGCTGTCGACGGGGTGGGTGAGGTCATGCTGAGTGATGGTGTAGAACACGCGTGAGGTCTGGCGCGCGAGGTGCTGCATGATGGTCTTGAAGAGGGGGGAGGGATTGGGGGGGAAATCGTCGCTGTTGAAGATGGACAACTCGAAACTACCCACAATCGAGTTCTCGAATATGACTGGTGCGTCGGGTCGGCAGCATGCCCTGTGCAGCGACTCCACCGACTGCATGAGGGGAAGGACACTGCTGTAGACAGAGTAGAAGCCCATCCGCAGGGTGAGCTGGGTGAGCGACTGGCGGCATCCACGCGACCACAGCGCTGCCTGAAAGGCACACATGATCGAGACCATGAGACAGCAACATATACGTCATCCTTCATATGTATCGGTAGCTAACCCGCAGTCGGTCCACCGCTGCACGAGGGTGGGCAAAATCGCCGCCTAGAAGGACCGTGCCTATGCATTCCAGACGTGCCAGGGGCCCCGGCTGCCCGGCCACTGCCACCGGCATGCGCTCAAACGCCGCCGCCCACTCGCCATCCTCAAACGTCCCATCCACACGCCGCAGCGACTGGGACGAGCCGACGAGCTGTCCCACGGCACTCACACCCCACCCCTACTGGGCAAGGCGCTGGAGTGACGGCATCAGCCACCCTCTGCTGGCCAGACCGGAATGAGCTAAAGTGACGCCGGTGACAGTCTCGAGGGCATCAAGGGAGGGGGGCGGGTGCAGGGTGGACGGGAGGGGCGGTTGATGTCGCTGCAGTGACTGCATCTCCCTGCTGCTTAGGTGGGCGCCCTCCAATAATTGGATTGTGTGTCCTCAGCGTGCCGCCCTGCATGCTGGCTGCCCGGCGGCCGGCAATGTACCCCTCGATCATGGCTATGAAGACGTCGATGCACCAGAGGGCGGCATTCATGGGATAGCGCAAGACGATAGCTGCCAGCCGTGTAAGCCGGGCCGCCCATTTGGTGACCAGATCCAGAGGGACACGCTGCCAGATGCGCCGCTCGGCCGCGCCACTGCTGTCGATGGTGACGGTGTGATGCTTCGGCAGTGAGTGCTCCCATGTGTTGCCGGACAGCTGGACGAGTAGACAGAGGGGGAGGAAGGCCGTGATGCAGGTGAGCAGACCCGGCTGCACAAAACGAACACAAACAGCGACAGTGAGCCATCGCCCGTCCATTGTTGTGTGCGTGATTTCCTCACCGTGTCTGAGATCTTCTGCCTCAGTTCCCTCTCCCTCTCCTCTCTCTGTGCCCGTCGCCGCCCTTGGTCGCTCGCAGCACCAGGAGTACCAGCAGCAGAAGATGACGGCTCGGCGGTGCGGAATCGATGGGCCTACAACGATACACACAAACGAGTGAACGACGCCGACTTACACATCCAGACACACACTATGGCAGGGCGTCCATTCATCGTGCAGCAAAATGCAGCCTCACCTGACGGCCGTCATCGGCAGTTGCAGCATCAGACATGGTCGTCCATCACACGATGAAGCGAACAGCAGACTTCGCTGCGGATGAAGAACAGACATGTCGACGCCGTTCAACAAAGCACCTGCAGCATGAGAAAGAATGCTTGTGATGGATGCTTTGCGTCCGTCGCTGTTTGTCCGCCTCCGCGCACACTTACTTGTGTCGTTCATCGGTCTGTCATCGATACGTCAATGGAATGCAGTGCATTCTGATCAGCGAGAGCTACGTAGAGCCACATCTCGCTGCTGTCAAGCTGCTTTTGGCCTTCGATCGCTGCTGTCAAGCTCGCAATGGCGCCTTGCTCCCGCCTCCGCTCCGCGCGCAAGACGCCACGGTGAGGGGAGAGGGTTCCCCACATACCGAAAAAATTGAAAGATCTGTGTGTTTTTGTGTTTGCAGAATCGTGACTTCCCTGCCTACCTGGGTCGGAGGTGTCATGCGTGTCCCTCTGGCCGCCAGCATTGCGTTTCTCTGTGCGTTGATGGGCATGGCAGCCACTGGTATCCCTTCAGAAAGGCAGGCCTGCCTCCATGGCCATCGAGATCTTTCAGCACGCTGTCTGTTGTGTGTGTTGCGTTGGTCTGTGCAGGCGAGTCACCTGGCGAGACGTCTGGCGAGGCAGTCGCTGCTGCTGCTGGCGATGGACAGACCAATCAGCATGGTGTGCACTCACACATGCGACACGCCCGTCTCTCTTCACACAGACATTGCACCCCTGATTGATGTGTCTGCATCTCTTTGTCAGATGGCTCCCTCCGCCGAGGCAGAGCGGCAGAGGCTGACGAAGCAACTTCAAGGGGGTCATCATATCAACAGACGAGCATGACAGACACATCAAAGCAATCCCTATGTCTGCGTGCCCACAGGCAGGGCTCTCGCTCCGACAAGCAGCTTGGTCGAAACAGGTGATGATGATGGCCACCACGGTGAAATCGGCAACAAATATGGCATTGACGATCTTCGAGAGCCGGGCCCTGTCGAAACAGGTCATCGCGACCACGTCGAGCCAGACCCACCTGATGACGATTACGAAGACGATGTCCCCAGTGGTGTGTATCTTTCGACACTGTCCTGTCCTGTCCTGCTGACGATTTTGATCGCCTCCTTGATGTCAGCCTGTTCATGCTGAGAGATATGGTGCGGGCAAGGCCGACACTGAGGGCCCATGCGAAAGTCGACAGCAGGACAGATTATAAGAGTCGACAGCATGGGGACGGCAGCCGTGAGAGGGTTTTCGTGTTTGCGTTGGCTGCCATTTCCAGCACGACACCGTGTCTATCTGCTCACCCTGACAGAAGTGGTGTAAGCGGGCCGACACGAGAGGGATACGGAAAAGTCGACAGCATACAGTTGCCGTGGATTGATGTGCCTCGAATTAGCCTCTGAATTCGTCTCTGCGTGTGCGTCTGCGTGTGCGTGTGCGTGTGCGTGTCTGTAACTATGAGGCGTCCTGGTGTGGATTGCTGGCGTGAGAGACTGCTCGGGTGTCGAGCAAATGCGTGTATAGCTGTTAAGGAGACCGAATGGTGCTCACCGTTTCAAGGCACTCGAGCGCTACACAATCGTCCGTCTGTCGCACCACTCACACGAACCATGCATTGCAATATAAAAGTGTCTGTCTGTCGGTCTGTCTCCGTCCGTCCGTTGCGGCCAGCCAGCCTGCCTGCCTGCCTGCCTGTCGGCATCCATGATCCATCCATCCATCTGTCGAAGGCCGTCCGTCTACCAAGTTATTCACATCACAGACATGCAGCTCACTCGCGTCAGAAGACGAAAAAACCGGCATGTACATCGGGGGAGGGAGGAGGGAGGGAGGGGGAGAGGGGCTGGGGTGGGTCAATCTTCATCTTGAGGATAGCCTGAACGCCGATGAGGCCGCCGTGTCGTCATCGTCGTCGTCGTCGCGATCGACCAGACCGAAATTCTCCTCGGTCGTCACCTTCACAAAGACAAACGACAGCAGGTACATTTGATACCACCCACTTGTTGATGCGTCTACCGGTGTGTATCTGTATGCGTGTCGTGTGGTCATCTTGATCTCGGCCGCCCGCCACGCGATGAGCAGCAGGATCGCGACCACACTCAGAACAAAAGACCACCCCAACACGCCCCACGCACCCATACCCGTCCTGACAACAACAACATTCACACCACCACACACATAATCAATGCCCCCAGTGTCACAATCTTTCTCCCGAATGGACCTGACCTCATTCTAGAGTCTGCCGGTATTGGGTCGCACATGCCGGTGACGGGGTTGATGACGAACCCCTCCCCACAGTGGATCTCCTGCTCAGCCTTGATGCTCACACCACCAGCCTCACCCAGCCCCGGCAGCCTATCCTGACCGCCGACGGGCTCATGCACTATCACGGGAGGGGGAGGGGGCGGCGGTGGGGCGGCTGGTGGGAAGGCCGGCGGCCTCCTCGGCTCGTCCTGTTTCCCCCATCCTCCTCCTGCTGCTCCTGGCTGCTCCATGTAGACCTCGCCCGGCCGACCTGGACCCCTGTCGCCGGTTGTGGTGCCTCTACCGGATGATGACTCGGATGAGACGCTCCCAGGAGCACCCCCTGGCGGCCTGATCGATCACACACACACGGAGGAGAACAACGGACATGATGCGTCTGTCGTCTGTCATTAATGTCTAGATGGCTGTCTGTCTGTCTGTCTCACCGGGCGCCCTGTTGAGTGTGCCATCCGTCGCCGAGCATCGACGCTGACCATGCAGAAGGAACAGGGGGGCCGCCGGTCCACGGGAGCTTGTCTGGGAAGTCGGGCGTGGTGGCGATTCTGTAAGTGATGGGCTCCTCTATCACGTAGGGCCGCCCAGTGCCCTCTGACACAAATCCCTGCGTGTCAAAGCCGACAGAATGCATCCCCGGGGTCTGCCTGTCATGTGTGTGTTGTGCGCTTACGTCGCTGAGTGTGAGAGTAACGGTAGGTGCGAGTGCCTGGAGGACCTCGCCTATCCAGACAAAGTTCCAGAGGTAGCCGCCCTCCTCCTCCAGACGCAGATAGTCTGACGGCGCCACACGCTGGCCACTCTGATGGAACACACACACACACACACACACAGAGAGAGAGAGAGAGAGAGAGCCGAATGAATGGATGCAGGAAGCAACAAGGAGCCGGAGCTGCGAAGCATGTGGACCTACCTGGCCTTGAAGCGCGATGAGCCTCTGCGCTTCAGCCGGGGACGCTTTGGCGGGCGACGAGAATCGAATACTCAGCTGATATACACAGCACACACAAATGGCGTCCATGGCATGCACAGAAACAGCAGCACGTGTGTCTGTCTGTTGTGGTGCGGCGGTTCTCACCATGAGGTCCTGGCCATACATGAGCGGCATCGACGGCTGGGGGTGCACCGAGACCACCTTAGCCGATGCAGCCGAGGACACGCCATAGCTGGGGGCGCCCTTCCTAATGACGGGGTAGGTGCTGAAGGAGAACTGCAGCGGGAAACACTGCCGCCCCGAGCCCGCCCTAAACTGGCCGGGGAAATGGTCGTCAGCGATGCGCGCCTGGTACTTGCCCCTGCAGACAGCAGAAAACGAATCAGAAACGATACGCGGGGATATGTATGTGTGTGTGTGTGTGGTGGATGTTACTTGGGCAGGTACAGAGCGACCCATTGTCGTGCGTTGACCGGGCTTGAGGCGCCGTTGACGAAGTCGATTTCGCTGAACATGATGGACTTGGCTTTGCGGGGGTCGGCGTCGCCGCCGATGATGTCCATCTCCACGTGGGAGAGGAAGAAGTTGTACCCGATAGACGCTATCACCACCGAGTCCTGCCACCATGCACACACCCAAACACAGGGGCTCGGTGCCCACATGCCTGTGTCTGTCCGTGCTAAGTGTGCTGTGGTCACCTCTCCTAGGGTGAAGGGAAGAGTCTCCAGGAAGCCGCCCGCCTCCTGTGCCACGTTTCTCACGCCGCTGTCGTACCCATTCTCCGCCCCGCGACCACTGAGGGCAGCCGCGGCCACTCGCTGCTGGTCGAACAGCGCGTGGAAGTCCTCCGAGCGGCCCAGACCGTTGTTGGAGCACGACAGCATCTGATGAATTACAAAGACCGTCGGGATGCGCCTGTGGGTGGTGTGGGGGTGTGGGTGTGTTTGGTGCTGACATTGTCCATGTCTGTTTTTGGGAAAGCGGCGATGGCGAGATCGAAGATGGAACATGACTTTTCCATCGCTTCCCTGCACCCATCCATCCATCCATCCATCCATCCACACACACATGTGCATGCGCTTTCTCCCAACACCACACGCCAGACGCACCTGTGCTCATGGTGGAAGATGAGCCACACGGATTTCTCCGACAGCGTGAAGATGCGCTCCCACGCCCCGGGCACGTTCCAGTCGAAGTCGGGCTGGATGGGCTTGTGGTCGGGACCCACCACATGGAGATTCAGCGAGTTGAGCTCATCCGAAGTCCCAATCGTCACGCCGATCTTCAGAACCAATGTGCGGCCTGCATATAGACACGACAGACGCCATGGACGCACGGCGGATGGATGGATGGAGGCGTCTTGGTCTTGGCTGACCTTTTGTGTCGAGGTAGAGTTTCTTCCTGCCGTCGTGCATGTCGGTGATGACCACCCTCGACCGGATGAGCAGTCTGCCGTTGGAGTCCACCGGCCCGCCCAGCACCGCCGCGCCCCCATCGCCCCCACTCAGGTCAAGCGGCAGCGGCATCGCGCCATAGGACACACACTCGCGGCTCGTTCCTATCAACACAATCGCGCACATGTGGTTGTGTGGTGTTAGGAAGGTGTTAGGAAGGCACCTACCTGGTGAGTCTCTGCTGAGCGGTGTGAGCGAGATGAGTGACGAGAAGGCCACGCAGAAGGGGAACTTGACGGGTGGCGGCTCCGGCTGTGAGATCTGGACGTGGTAGGTGCCTGGGGGCACCTCGATGCGGAGGGCGTTGATCATGGCCCGCTGCTCGCCCACCCATAGCCCTTCTGGCACGTGCACACCTATCCTGTGAAGCAAGGCAACACAACAACAGCACAGAGGTGCGCAGGGGAGTGTGTGCATGTGGGTGTTGGGGCGAGGGGGAGGGGCAGGGGTGTCTGTGTGTCGTACCTGACGAATTGGAGCAGGAATGGGGATCCCAGCTCGATGTAGAGGAGGGAGGGGACCTTGGCCTGCACCGGCACCTCCATCAGCTGACCCTGGCGATAGACACGTCACACACACAGAAGAAATGCACTTGTGTCTATCGGCGCTGAATGATGTGCAGGTTGACCTTGTTCTGAGCAAAGTTATGGTCGAGCCTGATATTGGTGTAGCCCTGAAGGAATCGACACACGGCATGAAAACACCCTTCTGTGCCCTCTTGTGCTGGCGCACCGTTGACCATTCCGTCTGCTGCTGCCCTACAAGCGCGCCCGAGCCACTGCCCGGCACCGGCAGGGTGGGCACCGTCGCCGAGCACCCCTCCTTGCTCGCAGAATGTGCGTCAGCCTCCAGCCGATCCAACGCCGACATGCCTGCATAGATAGGATCACACACACACACACACAAGTGCGTGTGTGTACACATACACACACACAAGTGCGTGTGTGTGGGGGACACACAAGTGCGTGTGTGTGTGGGGTGTGGTGATTGCTCGGCGACTCACCTAGGGTGACGAGGAAGGCCTCTGTAGCCTGGACGTCTATTCTGTAGTAGCCCGGCTGCAGCACCGCCACCATGTGGCCTAGGCTGTCGGACTCGGCTATCTGGCTGCCGCCGTCCATCACACGGACGTGGATGTGCGCATTGGACAGATCCGCCGGCTCGCACACAAACCTGTTGACCGCAGAGAGACATGCACACACATGGATGTGATGCTCAAATGGCCTGCCTTTGTGTGTGCCTTGTTTCTGACCTGATGAGCGTGGGTTTCTGTATCTGCAGCTCAGTGGTCTTGACTTTGTCGAAGGTGAAGATGTTGGTCGACAGCACCGGGGCGTCTGGCAACGACAGGTAGCCCACCATGTTGAGCGACTGACACATCCACCGTACAACACCACACACAGAACAACGCACTGACAGAGCTGTTCCATCGCTCTCCTTTGTCGACTCACCGGTGGCAGTGGCTGGATGGCCAGCAGGTCAGGCAGGTCAAGCAGCTCAGCCCGCAGCTGGTTGACCAGCAGCTCGTCTTGTTCACCAATCTACACACACACACACACACAGAAGGGGATGGAGCATCACACACACGCGTCAAGGCACCCGACTCACTCACCTCAGCGTTGATAGTTGCGTGTGCACAGAGGGTGGCCATGGCCGAGATGGCGTCCCTGTCCTCCGTCATGCGCAGGACCAGCTCGTACTCGCCCCGGTCGACCTCCTCGTCCATCAGCAGGATGCGGCTCTCCATCAGCTTGCCCACAGAACTGCAGACAGACACAACAACACACAACACAACACACATGCGAAGGAAGAGTGTGTGGAAATGTGATGTGTGTGTTGGGTTTGTGGTGGGGCGCACCGTGGTTGGTTGGGCTTGGTTGATGTGTACTGCGATGGCTTGGGGACCAGCTCGATGGCAAGAGGGAGCCATGGCGGGTGCAGCTCTACCTCTACCTATCAAATACACAGACAGCCGGCCAGCCAAACACATATGAGTACAGGTGACCTCGTTGTGTCTCTATGTGGTCTCTCTTTCTCGCTACCCTGACGGCCACGGGCTGGTCGGCGACAGTGAATGGGAAGGACGTCTTCATGTCGGGCGACATCCAGAACTGAGTCGGCTTGGACACCTCCAGCTTGTGGCTCACCTTCCTGCACACAACACACGACAAACAATGCGCTGTGTCCTTCTATCCATCCATCCATCCACGGTGTATGTGTCGCTCTCATCCTCACCTTGGCACCAGGTTGAGCAGCACCGATCCCAGGTGGTCGGCGGCCGCCTGCTGCGCCCTCGTGGAGTCCATCAAAGCGCTGAACGAACCAGCCGCCCACGGACACGCTGCACGAATGCACACACATGCGTCAGATGAGTGTGAGCGTGTGTCTGTGTGTGTGTGTGTGTACCAGGTATGAGGTCAAGCGGCTCAACCACCATATGCAGCTGCACCACCGGGCACACAGTGGAGAAGTCGGTCGCCTGGCTGAGCACCATGTGCAGCTGGTACGAGCCGCCCTGGTCCAGCCTCGCAAACAAGCTGTTGGTGCTCTCCTGAACCACCTGACCGGGCTGCAGCAACTCCATGCCCCCACCGCCCCCATCAGCGGGCGACCTCACGCCGCTGGGGTTGGTGGCCAGGCGCATTCTGACGGTTGATTTGAGGCCGACGGTGGTGATCTTGATGATGGACGGGGCGGCGATGTCGAGAAGGGTCAGGTGGCGGCCGGATGGGGGGACGATGAACTGGCTGTCGATGACCAGCTCCTCCCCTCTCCTAGTCGATATCAAAGCAGGCAGCTCAGACGTGCCTGCATACACACACAGGGAGGGGAGAGAGAAAGGGGTGCACACCAAGACACCGATTCATGTGTGTCTGGGGTCTGTCTCACCAGCTCTGCACAGCCAGTCCTCGCCCCTCAGCTCCTCGCCAGTGCGCTCAATCAGCCGCATGTCCACCCAGAAAGTGGCACAGGTCACCAGGTTGTCGGCCCATCTCGTCTCGCTCGCGTCGAGGAACTTGTTGCCCGACCCCCCTTTGCTGGGGTCCAGCTTGGGCCGCCCGACGTAGTAGATGTCGACAGTGTAGCTGCCCGGCTCCAGCGGCCCCAGCAGCTCCGCATAGCCGTTGGACGTCACCCTGGGCTCGCTCACGTGCATGCCTTCACGATTCAGCTGCAAGCATGGAACAAGGAACACGACACAGAGAGATGGGTGGTCTCTGTTGCCTGTCTGTCTGTTTGTCTGTGTGCGTGTGTCTGCGTGTGTGCGTGCCTGTAGCCTGAAGTCGCTGGTGAGGTAGTCGCTTTTGATGCCCATTTTCAGGTAGGTCGCCGGGTCGTGGGGCCCGATGTTGAACGACTTGGACGCCAGGATGTGGGGCTGGGCTGCAGGCAGACAGCCGTGACATAATTGCAGGAAATGCGTGAGTGCACATCATGTTGGTTCTCTTTCCCACTTACTTACCTGTGGTTGACGGGATGGGTTTCTCGAATCGCTGCCAGTTCTCCCGTTTGCTGCGGAGCATCTCGCCCAGGTAGACCTGACCACTGTCCACACACGAACCACTCTGACCACACACACACAGACGCAGGCACACAGCGAGAGGCGAGTCATTCATCTGCAGCCCCTCCCTCGTCTCCCCTCGCCCATTCTCACCTGCTTGACCAATTCCACAGGTTTCAGCGCCACTTGAACGAAGAAGCCGTCACACGGATGCAGCCCGCCCAGCGGGTAGTCGGCGAAGAATCCCAGCCCGTACTTGCCCGGCGGCAGTGGCGTGTGAATGGTCTGGTCGTTGGTACCGCCCAGGGCGTGCATGCGGACCGGCGGGGCGATGACGCGCGGCGGGGCGTCGAGCGTCGTCAGGATGATCCGCAGGTCGACCGACGACTTGTGTGTCGTCACGCGGAAGAGACTCGGCTCCCTGCACTCGTTGAATGGCACATTCACACACATCCGTGTGTGGCTGCGGAGGGGAGGGCAGGAGGGTACCTGACGTCAAGGGTGACGACGTGTTTCATCTCCTCGAGCTCGTCGGGCGGGAATCCAAACCAATCGCGGATGTGCAGAGCGCGGCCCTCGATGGTACCCACCTGAAGATTCAAACATGCACACCTACTCACAAGGACTATGCTTGTTGTGCGCCATTCGCTCACTGACCTCCAGGTCATCGGTGTTGTGCGAGTCCGACTGTACGATCTTGGCCGGCAGCCGGGCGTTGGTGCACATCCACGACTGCGGGCCGACCTCGAAGGGCGTCAGCTTCGACTCATACTGAATGAATGTGCGACACACACACAACCGAGGAGCGTTTGTGGGCGTGTCTATGGGCAGCGGCAGATGTGTGAATGGGTGTGTGTTTTGCCTGCCTTGATGTCGACTTCGAGGTCGAATTCCATGCAGTGCGTCTTGCTGTCACTCAGGTACATGGGCTCGCCCGCCAGCAGCCACAGCTGCACCACTCACATACACACACACACACACACACAGGGTGCATCGGTGCTCTCGGCGCGTGAGATCGTGTGTGTGTGTTCTTTCTCTGCGCTGACCTTGTATGTGAATCCTGAAGGCATGGCGTGGTCCATCACCTGCCCGTTGTATATAGGCGTCGCCCCGATGCACCTGCATAGCACGGATCCGTGTGCATCGATTGATAACACAGTTGAGTTTCTCTCTCTCTCGCGCACCCCATTTGGCATGAGGGCTCGGTGGCAGTCTCGTCAGGTGTGGTGTTGAGGTCGAACAGCTCTATGAGTATCTGGAAGGGGCCGCTGATGAACCTGAAGGTCGACCGGAGGAAGAACCGCACGAACCGGTGCAACCTGATGACACATACACGCAAACACACACACAAACAGAGAGAGAGAGGGACGTGGTCTTGTTGTGGTGTTGCAGCCGTGTGTCGGTATACCTCGGGGGCACGTCGACGACGAGTGACCACACCTCCTGATGAACACAAGTACAGACGTCCATGTGTGGAGGCGTGTGTGTCACGGCGGCCTCCCATTGATCATTTTGAAAGCTCACTCTCTTGAAAGGGTTCCACACTCGGTCATGCGTGAAGACGTACACGTACGGCTTGGCTGCATGAACCATACAGAGACCATAAAAGGGCATGCACACGAGTGTGCGCGTGTCCCTGTGTGTGTTACATGGCGGGTTGCTATCGTGGAAGCCCTTGTCGTCGAGGGTGATCTTCTCGCGCTTGACGGGCAGCCCTGAAGTGCCCGGACAAGAACTGGGGATATGGTAAGGCATCCCTGACCACACACAGACATGGAAAGAGAGTGACATCCACCCATCGACGATTGAGAATGCGGCTGCCGACTCACTCCAGATAGCCACGACAGTTATGTCGACGCGTACAGGGAAGCAGGATGACTTCCGCCTGGCAGACACACGCGAATGAATGAATGGATGAATGCATGAGTCGGACTGCTTCGGGGTCGTTACCATCTTGCATCTGCCCCTGGCTCGTCCTGAGCAAGGTCCGCAGCTGACAGACAGACACAAGAAACAAGAACCGCCGACCGATCGATCACCCATTCACCCTCCCCGCCTCCCTGTGTGCCTCCTTTCTTACTGATTTTGAACACGAGGCGATAGTCCTCCCCCTTGTTGTCAATATCCCCCGTCAGGTAGCACTTGGCGTTGTCCCCCCCTGCCCCCGGCATCTGGGTGCCCCACAGGACCGGCTTGGCGTACTCGCCCGACACGTGGTTCTCGCTGCCCTTGTAGAGGTCCACCTTGACCTCGGCCAGTGAGTCGCGGTGCACCTCGACTGATGCCGTGATGATGGAGCGCTTCTTGACCTTGAATGCCAGGGTGTGCTCGTGGACGTCGTCGGGGATGCCGAATACGTCACCCAGGTAGACCTCGCCTGAAGAAAGAAAGAAACAGACGGACGGGCAGCAGATGGATGTATGTGTGATGGGAGCATGCACTCAGTGCGTGCGTGCGAGAGTACCGTTGTATTGGAGGTATCCAATTGAGTCGAAAGTAGATGGGATGGGGTGGTACTTGCACGACTTGGGGTTGTACTTCTCCGCTGCTTGATTCAGCTCTGCATCGCTCACATCGCCATGGCAAACCCCGATGAACACTGCCGACAGCAGCAACAGCAGCATCGCAGAGGCAACACCCATGACGGATCTCTCTGGTGCATCCCGCCATCTTCGTCGCTTCGCCCTTGGAGTGCTCGCCTCCATCAATTCCATCACCAGCAGCGCCTGTATGCACGTCAATCAAGGATGCTCTCTCGATGTGCTTGTTCCATAGCTAAGATGAATGGCTGGCGGTGACGCTGGCATCATGCTCATCTCAATTGACATCGGTTTCATTTGCGAGCTCACGAAAAACGATCGGGAGAGAAGGCGAGGAAGACAGAGAAAAGGGTAGACAGAAGAGGGCGCTTTACTCCCTTGTCTTTCGCACGGTGCAGGTGCTTGCCTTGGCGAGAAGTGAAGAAGAGAACAACAGAAGCGATGAGTGACTCAGATGCTGCCGCTTCTTCGTCAACGAAGGCGTCGCACAGCGTCAATGTCAAGGCCTCTGCGCGACAGTTCATCCAGCGGTTCATCGGAACTGTAGGCCACGAAGCAAAATCCGCTTGCCAAAACAGATGCATGGCACTCATCATTCCTCTTGTGTGTGCTGTTGTGTGAACGTGTGTGTGCGTTCAGCCTGTGGCTGGTAGGACGGACGTCGAGTCGACGCTCGAGCCGGGCCTGCGCGCCACCGTCCGCAGAGGCGAGCAGCAGCCCATCCCGCTGACCTCCCCGAGTGGCAACCCGACCGGTGAGTCGGTCGCACCCGGGGACAAGGTCGTGGTCTTCGAGACCGTCCAGAAAGGCCTGGTTGCGGTGGACCCCCACAATCGGCGCTGGGGACGGCCCGTCGACCACGTGGTGGGCTACGCCCCTCGGGCTGCGTTCGCCTTGCCCGCGCCTGACGGACTGCTGGGGAGCGTGAGGTTCCCGGTGTCTCACAAGACCAGCTGGACCCGGCTGCGAGAGGTGAACGTGGCCATGCTCAGAGCCCCCAGGCAGCGGCTGTCCGGCGACTGCTCCCTCCTCGCCGCCGTGCGGGCAGCGCAAGCTGCGGCCCCAGACCGCATCTACGACATGGTTACGCTCATAGACCGCCAATGCGCCACGGGCCCCCAGCGAGCCAAGGTCCGCTATTTCTCAAAGGATCGCCACGGGCGGTTTCAGCCGGAAGAGGTGACGGTCACCACTCGCCGCCTCCGCGCCCAGATCCCCTGCTTGCCCCACATGATGCGACCCCGCTTCGGGGCCACGGTGGAGGGACAGGTCGCGGAGATCGGCTGGCCGCTGCTGGGACGGCCCAGACATGAGCTGGGCTGGATGCTCATCGAGAAGGCCCGGGCCAAGACCATGGCGGATGGGACCTGGAACGCGCTCGCCAACGAGGGGCAGGGAGTCGTCGAGACCTTCGAGTGGCTGCTGGGGTGGCGTACCGAGACTATCTCTCTCCCCAAGGACCGGCCCCTCACCGATCTCTACGAGGAGATCCGCGCCGCGTATGCCCGGGGGGAGCCGGTGGTGGTGGTGGCTGGAAACGACAAGTACTGCCACGCCTATCCGCTGCTCCGCATCTCCGGAGGGGGCCGGGCGGTCCTGGGGACCGGCCATTGGTACAAGTCGCGCAAGAGTCCAAGTCGCGAGGTAATCGCCAAGCTTCGGCTCGACGGCAAGCGGGATTTCTTTGGGCCCCCCGTCGGCATCGTTAATGGTATGCTTATCCTTGGGATCACGATCGCCCGCCGGGAATACCTCACGGCCCCTCCCATCATCCACGCGTCGTGGTATGTGAGTTGACTCACTCGCACGACAGCAGCCATGACACATATACAGTGATCCCGCTTATGTGTGCAGATTTTCCACTTCGTCTGGAGATCCCACTGCAGCTCCCTGCTCGATTGGAGCCGCATCATATCGACGTGCACTGGTGCAGCGCGGATGTGTTGGGCGGCTCTCATTCCTATGCGTGCCTTCGAGTTTATTGATGGTGACCTTGCGGAAGGCGAAAACTCTGCTGGGAGGGCCGGTCAGGAGCGGCTGTGCCAGAGGATGGACATTGAATGGATGTCCCAGAGAGACATACCGGCAAGGGATGACATTGCATTGCGCGCGAGAGACGACCTCATGCTCAAGCGGCTGGATGACAGATCAGTGTGACTTTGCTGTTGCGTATGATGGTTGACAGGGAGGCATGTATCATGCATCGTACATGGGACTTACGTGAAGGGTTGCCATTGGGTCGATGTGAATAGTGGTGGATTCACTGATTCATTCGTTGATTGTCCTGACCCATGTGAACTACTGGACAAGCAAGTGTAGATAGAAAAACGAATGCACTCAAAAGAAGGAGCGGTTCAGTGACAGGATCCTCCGGTTACAGACACGAGTCTCGTAAACACAATAACCAACCAACCAGGAGCCGTTTGCACAGTTCAGCCTTGCCTTTTGAGAGAGAAGAGAGCTAGCATAGCAATGAGCGAGGCGGCTGCTTCTTCGTCGACCAAGACATCCCACAGCGTCGATCTCGATGCCTTTGCGCGGCAGTTCACCGGAATTGTAGGCTGCAAAGCACAAAGCGAAAGCCGCCTGCGCCACACGGTGCTCGTCATTTCTCTTGTGTGTGGTTACGTTCGTTCAGCCGGCCATCATCGGCTGCGTCTTCTCGTTCCTGTCGCTCCATTTGATGGCGCAGCTGCCCAAGCGGCTGTGGCGCCACGTCGGCGCACGTGTCACACGCCTGTTCATCAACACCTGCAACGGGGCGGAGCGCCGTTTCTGGTGCGGGCTGTCCTTCGACGCTGCCTTCAGCTTCGGGCGGCTGCTGACGCAGATCGAGTGCATCGTCATCCGGTTCCCTAGTGGCAGCTACGTCAGAATACGCATCCCACCCAGCTCGTGCGGGCGGACATCTTCAGGACCGTCGATTCGCTACTCGAGAATTCTTATTCGCCGAGGGGCCGACATTGTGACAGCGTTGGTGGAAGGGCACTGCGACCGGCAGAGAGGTCAGGCGGCACGAAGCACACTCGAGTCAATCGAGTTCAGCACCTCCCAGTTGAGGCTGAGCCTCGACGATGATGAGTACGACCAGGCCGAGTCTGTGTGGCAGCATGCGGCCCTCGCCCCTCCCCTCGACACGCCCCCTACTCTGCATTCCCTCACATCCATCTCGGGCTTCGGCGAGCATGACTTTATGCCAGCGTCTTTCTACCGCCAGGATCGACATTGGCAGCTTCCGTCCCTCCAGAGACTGCAAACACTGGCAGACCGCCCTTCAGACAGGGATGGGCAGCCGTGTTGGGGCGTGCCGCGGTTGCTGCTGCGGGCGTGTCGGAGCCTGCGGGAGGTGGATATGGCGATGCCGCCTGGTCATGTGGCCGAGGCCTTGGCGGAGATACCTATAGCACAGGATGGGCAGCCTGGCCCCCTGTCGCAGCTGCAGGATATCGGCCCTCTCATCTGCATGCATCACCATCCTGTCGATGTCATCACTGCCGGGTACAACGCCGGATGCACTATCATTCCACCGGACGAGTGGGCGGCGGGGGTGGGGCGTCTGCAGGTATGCGCGTACAGAAGAAACAAAGCAGAGAGGACCGTGTGTGTCTTTGTACGATGTTTCTCGTCACCGCCGTTTGTCGTTTGTAGGGCGTGCTTGTCGCTCGGGGGTGCCGTTCGATCAAGAGCGTCACTGTCGACCTTGGATGGCATGAGCCCGTCGACAGCAGCATGTTCGAAGCGCTGTCGGCCATCGAGGCCTTCACACGCACAGTGTGTGAGCGCGCCAGCGTCCCCGTCCACATATATCGACATCCAGACAGGGGAGTCCTTTCCGGATCTGGACCCCCTTGATCCAGACGACCGCCTGCTCTTCGACCTCTCCCTCCTCTGCGACGTGCCCGTCCACCCCGTCGCCTCTCCCTTCGTCCGGAGGCACCTTCTCCAGATGGCGGCAGACGTGTCGAAGGTGTCCTTCCTCATCCAACCACAGCATGTGACGGCTCCCCTTGACACACCCACCCCCGCTGCCAAGGCCCTCGCACAGGCCATGAGGTTCCCCAAAGCGACCAGTGTCAAGGTCATCGACTTCCCAGATATGGAGGAGCTCGAGGCCGACACGCCGCCGCCCGACCCGCTCGTGATCGACGAGCTGCCTGACGCTGCCTTTCCCACGGCATCGCGCCTCACGATTGGCAGGAGCTTGGGCAGCGTCATAGAGCGTAAGCTGGTGACCAAGATGCCTGTTCTGGCAAAGATCGAGATCGGTGGCTCATGGGAACTTGTCGAGACGAGTGAGGGGGTACCAGAGGCGGATGCGGTGAGGGTGCTGGAAGCAGTGGGTGCGGACAGGCACCTGGATCTCTTTCGTGTTGATGACTCTTGCTTTGTCACGGGTGTGGGTGAGGGCGGCGTGACGTGGGGCGAGAGGACTGACGAGCTGCCCAGCATGGAGAAGCTGGAGCTTAGTGTGGAAGGTGAACCGCACTGCACCCAAACTGCACATTCTGCATGTCATCTCTCTCTGTTTGGGTGCGTGCAGTTCCCGAGCATCTGGCTGACAGCGATGCTGCTGGTGAGTTTGGCATTACCTGCGTCAGGTCGCTGCTCAAGATTCGCGGCCTCAAGGAACTCGCCTTAGAGCCGCGCCCCTGGAGCGCCTTCGCGCGGCTCGTGCAGGAGAGGAGACATGGGGACAGCATCGAGGGCGTCCCGGGCCGATTCGTCATAGGGTGGCGCAGGGGAGGCAGCCTTGTGCTCAAGCCTCAACATGAAGACACCTGATGGAGGGAGGACGACATATATGTCGATGCGACGACTGTGCTTCTGTTTCTTGCAATGGTATTGTGTGTATTGTGCGTATGTCGTTTCAGGTGGTCCACTGCTCAGCTGGCCGAGCTCTTTGCAGTCTAGACCAGTGCATTGATTGTGTGGCGAACATTCATTCATTCATTCATGGATTCGTTGATTGTCCTGACCCGTACGTGCGAACATCAATGCGTCTCTGCAGCTGCTGTGTATCCATAGACACACTCACTCCTAAGTAAGTACTCACGTGAGTCAGTCCATAAATGCAGCCAATCATTCACCCAGCCACCGCCGAGCCACCCGTGTGTTGCTTCACGAATCAGCCGCATTAGGCACACGGTCAGACGAAGGACAAGGTTGGAGAGATAAAAGCCTGGATGGACACCCTCCATCACCCAGCCACCGCCCAGCCACCCGTGTGTTGCTTCACGAATCAGCCGCATTAGTCACACGGTCAGACGAAGGACAAGGTTGGAGAGATAAAAGCCTGGATGGACACCCTCCATCACCCGCACCAACCAACACATGCACACACACACAGACAGACAGACACAAACCGATCATTGTGTGTGTGGCTGGCTGGCTGGCTGGCTGGGGATAACGTGAAAAACTGCCCGCACGCCTTCCTCGCTGTATATGTTACTTCAGTCAAATGAATGAATGAATTGATATCACATCACGGTCACGAAAATGAATAGAAAAGGGCTCACCCACCGGTGGATGCGCCCTCCCTCTCTCGCCCACAGCAGGCTGCTGTCTGTGACTTGGATAGGTAGGCATTAGACAGACACACACGACATGAATGAGCAGAGAGACAGACGGACAGACAGAGACGCACGAACACATGAATGGGTAGATAGCCACGTGGGCAGGCAGGCAGGCTGGCAGGCAGACCGACACGAACGGTTAGATAAACGGACGTGCATACGCCTCAGTCATGATGTGTGTGCACATTCAGATATACAGACACACAACACGATGTGGCGTTGCTTGCTACATCTACAGGGGAGACAAGGAGAGAGGGAGAGAGAGAGAGACGACACGTGCCATCCCTCAGCCATCCAGAGGCCTTGTCTGCCCGAATGCCGTTACAGAGCCATGCAATAACAAGGATGAGGATGATAAAGTACACACACATACCATACACAGACATCCAGCCATTCGCACGTTCGTATCTACGCGCGCCACCCCAGCAGCCAGGCAGCCATGCCACCCATGCCACCCGACCGACCGCCATCCACCAAAATGATCATAAAAGACACCTAGCGGCAGAATTAAGACCGTACGCTCTTCTTGACTATCGCCATTTCCATGTCTGCAGCCCGGCTCATAAAATTCCCGCTACGCGGCGATCCATCCATCCATCCATGTAGGTGAAAAAAGGAAACAGCGGCTGGCGTGCTCCCCTCTCTCTCAAGGGAGCAGCTTCTTCAGCAGCAGCTGCCGCTTCAGCTCAGGCTGGGTATCAAACACCATCATCAACTGACACACACACACACACACACACACATGGGCAGAGAGAGAGCGAGAGATACAGACGTGCGTCATTTGGCTTACGTGCTCATGGTCTTCCAGCAGCTCCGGCAGGTGGTCGCTGATGACTCCAAGGCACTGCTTCCTCAGCTCGTCAAAAGCCGCGTCGTCCCGCTGCTTGGATGCGAACACCCACCACGACACCGCCTGCAGCGCAATCGACGACGGCGGACCGCCGTCACACGACACCACACCGGTGGTCGACCGGCCCCTCACGCAAATGTCCGTCGACGAGCCAGACGTCGACCGGTAGACCGTCGTGCATGACGAGAATATGCCGCCAGTGGTCCTTCTGGGTGTGAGTGAGGGGGGCGTGGAATGGCTGCTGGTAAGCAGGGCTGCCGTGGAAATGGACGAGGGGAGTGTGTGAGGGGCGGTGGCGACGGTGGCCAGGAGCTCGCCCATGGCACGGACGCACCGGTCCACCAGCTTGTCGAGCATCAGACGGTGGGCCAGCATCAGCACATCCAACACCTGCACACACACAGACACACACATTCACACACACAAGACACGTGTGTCTGTCTGGTTGGTCTGGCGGTCGATATGAGTGCGTGAGTGGATGGGTGACCTCGTCAGGCCGTGGGTCGTATTCGTTGGTGTAGATAAAGGCCAAGACGCCCTGCATGGCCGTCGGGGTCGTGTCGCGGATCTCTATCGCCCGTTTGCCCTTCTCGTTGAGCGCCGTGCAGAAGAGGCCGCGGAAGAAGTCACACCGAGCGGCGAGGATGGCTCGGTGCACGGGGAACCTGACAGACACCAGCAAACAAGGTGTGAGTGTGCGAGGCTGCGACACCATTTGTTGATGGATGCACTCACGTGTGCCCGTCCACTTCGAGTTCCATATCGGACAGGTCAGTGTCTACACACACACGCGCAGAGAGAATGCACAATCGACACCGTCTGCGAGCCCATGTCGGTCATCCCCTCCCTCTCTGTCTGACCTCCGAGGAGCCTGCCAACGCAGAAGTCGTCCCTGCCTCGCCCGAGGAAGCCCTCCTTCTTTGGGTGGGGGCGCGCCGCCAACGGCAGAAACCGGACACTCCACTTCTTGGGGCTGTTGGGGTGCGCGTCCACCACCCACATGTTGCCGAACGGATCTATCGTCAACCTGCACCCAGCCACGCACACACATGCGCTATCTCCTTTCGTCCCTCTGTTTGAGTGTATCTGTGTGGCGTACGCGTAGGGTCCTTCAAATGCAGCAGCGGTCGCCACGCCGTCGCAGCTCTCGATGCGCCCGTCGCCGGCCAGAGTCCTCACATTGCCGCAGGGCGACACGCACCGGATGCGGGCGTTGAGCGAGTCGGCCACGTAGATGTACCCCGACTGGTCCACACACAAATCCTGATGGACTCAAGACACAGCAAAAGTGAGCAAATGGCATGGATGAGTGCGTATGTGTGTCGGTGCCTCGGCTGCCTGCTGACCCTGGGGCAGTTGAACTTGGCCTTGACGCCGAAACCATCGCTGAATCCCTCCTCCTGCCCGCCCGCCAGTGTGGTCACCTGCCTGGTGAGCGGGTCGATCCGCCTGATGGCGCTGCCGCAGCCCATGTCCATGACGTACACCGTCCCTCCGCCCACACCCGCCCCTCGCGGGTCGACACAGATGGCCTGCGGGCAGATGAAGGACGCCTCGGTGCCTTTGCCGTCCAGCCGCTCCAGCCGCCCTGAGCCTGCCAGGACCGTCATCTGGCCCGTGTGGTCGATTCGGTAGATGATGCGGGCAACTGAATGCAGGAAGAGAGAACACGCCATGCAATGCAGTGAGAGAGCGGTGTTTGTTCCCGTGCGTCTGTGTGCGCGTACCAGGGTCGGCAACGTATATGACGTCCCTATCGTGTGCAACGGTGGTGACGGCGACACGCACAGGAGCGCCCCCCGATAGCAGCGAGGCGAACGGCGCCAGGGACGTCCCTCTCGTATGGATGACGAGCGACCGTATCGACCCATCCTCGGGCAGCCGGCGCATGATCTTCCGCCGAAAGTCCAGCCCGTACACGTCGCCCCTCGGCGACACCCCGACGGCAATGCACGCATTCACCACGCTGGGCAGGCCGATTAGGGAGGTGACGTTCTTGACTCCCACGCCCGTCAGCAGCTGAGGCTCGCCCTCCCCGCCCTTGAGCGCCTCCCCGCCAGGCCGCCGTACCGGCAGCCGCCAGACGGTGAAGCGCTTGCCATCGGCGACGTACAGGCTGCCCTTCTTGTCGGAGTGGATGCTTGATGGCACCAGGGAAGACCCCTCGCGGCCTTTGAAGGGCACGCGGTAGGTGGTGACGAACAGTGGGCGCTCCGACTGCATGAGGAGGGGGAGAGGGGTTGCTGCGTTGTAGCTGTTGATGACAGCTCCCTCTACCGGCCTTGTAGAGGCTTGTGTGAGGCCGTGAGCTGGAGATCTCTCCCCTTTTGAAGCTTGCGAGCTTACAAATGGCGATTTTTGAAGAGCCTGGACCAGAGCGTTCATCCACGAGCAAACGAGGTAAGCATGCATCAAAAGGGTCCGAATGATGTGCTGTATCTGTGTTGTTGCTGCTGCTGTGTGATTCAGGTTCACTGATGAGGTTATCTGTCACCTTCCCTGCAGCTCTCGCGGTCAGCTGGCTGGCCATGGGCATGGCCTTCCTCATCCCATCGCCTCTCAGGATGCCACCGAGGACGAGAATGCGCGCGCGCATTTCGATGATGGTCACATCAGCAGCAGAAGTCGCCTCCCCGCCCACCACCGCAGGCCTGCAAGGTCGCCGCTTTCTCCTCGACTTCCAGGTCGCCGCAACTTCCCTCGCGGGCACATACCGGTGCGTCATCTATCTGCGGCCAGGCAACCAGATCTCGCTTGAGCAGGGGCTGTTTGCGGACACCGATGAGAAGGGCGACGAGGTGCCGGGCACCTGGCGGGTGACCAACGACGAAACGGGGAATGCGTATCTGGAGTTCTCTATCCGGCTGTCTGACCCGATGCGGAACTTGCTAGAGATCGATGGGGAGGAGATGTTCTGGCGAGGGCGGATCATCCCGCCCGCCACACTGGAGGACGTCTTCACTCTTGCGGACGGGCAGATGCTCTCCGAGCGCAAGAAGGTCGGCAGTGGGTCGGATTTCATCCGAGAAGGGACCTTTACCGGCACGCAGCTCAAGAGAATGATCCGGCTGGAGGAGCTTCGGGAGGAGGAGAGGGAGAAGAACAGAGGGGCGGATGAGGTTGTGGACGTTGACGGCGCGGCAAAGGCCGACCGTCTGGAGCAGCTGCTGGATGCGTGGGCTGAGGACGACAGCATAGCTGCCAAGAGGTTCCCATCCGACATTCTCGCTGTCATTGACCAGAGGGGGAACGTCGACTTGCCGGGGAGGGGGCAGAGGCAGGGCAGCATCATCAGGAAGCTGAGTTGAATGAAGAGTGAGGGGGATGGATGGATGGATGGGTAGATGGTGTCATCGCACAACGACAGATTGGATGACGGAGTGTCGCAGCACAGACCGATTCATCTCAATGATTGAATTTGTCAATCTGCACGACCGGGGTGTGCTTGTGGTTATTTGAGTACCCCGGTCTCTTGATCGATATCGATCATAATCCTTCACCCTCTGTCCTACCATATCATGATGCATGCGTCCATCCATCCATGGGCACGTCACACCGCTCAGACATAGGCACAAGAGACCGCAGGCAAATCCGCCAACACCTACACCCAGCAGCCGGCGGTCACCTGTGTTGACGTGCACGCGAGGCCTGCAGCGAAGAGCACTGCAAACCCCGCTGCGGCGCCCTGCAAACCTACTCTCTTAACATTTTTCCAGGGTCGCATTGGCGAGGACAGACATTCGCCAGGAAGCTCCTCCTCGCCGCGGATCATTCTATTGAGGATGACTTATCAACCATCCTTTGCGGCTCTTGCCTTGGCATCTCTCTGCTTCCTCGTCGCTTTGGCGCATGCTGAACCGGTCACAAGATCTGTGGATGCCGAGTACATCCGCTTCTTCCAGCGTCAGATTGAGGAGCAGCAACGGAGCTCCCCTCCTCAGTCCGACGAGCAGCGATGGAGCTCTCTCTTCAAGCTGATAGATGGCTTCAACCGCACGCCACCACTCTCGCCCTCCGTGCTGCCATCTCTGGTGGAAAACCGCACGGAATCCAATGCATTGCCGGCCGCCCCGGCCGCTGCCGCCCATGCCGAAGCGTCAGCTCCCGGCGCATCTACCGCACTCAGCCATCCATCTGCGGTGGCCCTTCCGCTTGTGGAGGCCATGACGGACAAGTCCTTCGTCGTTGCAGTGGATTACGGCACAGACCAGTTTGCGTTGTCGGTCATGCAGCGGCTGTCGAGAAAGGGGGGCATGCTGCTGCTCGCCAGCAGTCAAGAAGCCGTGAACAAGGCCATGGCCAGCTTCGTGCTTTCAGGGAGGCCCAATGCATTTGCATTTCATGTCGAGCTGGCTGCGAGGGAGGAGGGAACCACGGAGAGCATTGGAGCTTCGTTTGATTGCGGCCCCCTGTGCCCTCCTCGTCCTATTGGCCTTCTGCCGGCTGGGTGGCAAGCGCCAGTGCGGGTGCGGCTGGATGACCTGAAGCTGCAAAGAGGAGACCTGATCAGGTGATGACACACACACACAAGGGCGTCTTTGCACTTCTGTGATGCTGCCTTTGCTTTGTCATTCAGGTTCTCTATGGATGCGGAGCCGCTGCAGATAAAGGCTAGATGGAACAGCGCCCTTCATGCGCTGGATGGCGGCCTCGACATGCTGACAAGACTCAGACCAACCATCGTTATGGACTGGTGGGCCACACTGGAAGACGGGCCATCGGAGGCCATGGCTCTCGTGCACAGCTGGCAAGGGCGCCTGAATCGCATGCTGACGGGTGACGATGACCGGGAGGAGAAGGCAAGTAGAGCTGTCATGGTGTACAGGTGTGAGCTGTTCAACACTGAGAGCGTCTTGGTCGGCACAATGAAGACGCGGGAGGCGACAGAGGAGGAAAGACGAGAGTTCAGCCGTCTTATGGAGCTGCTGAGGCAAGATGCTGGCTACATGAGGGTGCTGACTGTGTGTCGGCCGCGTGATATGACACTGTGATTCATACCGAATGGATCGTAGAAGTGATAATAGAAACCATCATGGAAGAATCCATCAACACGACACCAAGATATAAAATGTAGGCAGAGATTGCTGCTGCTCGCCGAGTGCAGCACATGATCATCTGTCGCCCACCACGAGGCCACGAGGCCCACCCGCATAGGCAAAACACACCACAGCCACAAGCAAAAGACGCCAGCAAGCCGTGTGAGTGAGAAAAGGGGGCAGAGTGGGAGTGGGCACGTACACGGCTCTGTTGTGTGTTTGGTGCAGGTTCAGGTGACTACATGGGCGCGGTGGCTAAGGTGCATCGGATGGCACGGGGCTGGTGGTGATGTGATGTGATGCGGACGATGGGGGCGATGCAGCCAGTAGATGATGTTGTGTGCAGTCAGTCAGCCGATGAGCTGAGGCTCGTTTGATCATTCGTGGGCGTGAGACGTATTCACGGACAGAGGGAGACATGGTCTGTTGTCATGTGATCGATCGTCGTTCGTGCGCGTGACAGTCTTAGGGCACTGTCGTCACATATAAAACGTAGGCAACGATAAGCTCCTGCCTTCCCCTCCTACCCTCCCCTCTCAAACCACCACCACCACCACCACGCACGCGTATCGATGGCAGGAACGTCACGAAATATAAATTGTAGGCAGAGATCGATATACCTTTCTCCCTCCCTCCATCCCTCCCTCTTTGACTGTCTGCGATGGCCACCTGCTGCAACTTCCTCGACAACAACTTCACTGTGCGCCATCACTTTCATAGACAAACCATACACCCGGCACACAAATACGGACAGATCATAGACACACACACACATCACACACACACACGAAGGCATCGCCCCTAACTAGGGGAAAATGCGGCATTGAGTCCATTGACCGAGTCGGACAGATCATACACACACACACACACACACACATCACACACATCACACAGCACAGCCATCCAGACGGGTCACATCCATCCATCCATCCATCCATCACATACATACCACAGGCAGCCATCCATCTCTCTCTCATCCCCCATCATGCAGCCGTCCACTGACCGTGAACCCATCCCATCACATCCCATCCACGAGTCATCAGATGCCATCACGACAGCCAAGTGTATGCAGATCGATGTGCTGTACGCCACACACAGACACGCTCCCCAGCTGACCACATCATGTAGCCACACAGACGCACCGTCCGGCCATCCACCCCGCGATGCAGGCAAGTTGTGTGTGTAGACGAGCCGCCAGCCAATCCAAACACACCACTACCACCTTAAGCACGCCGGGCCGACTGGCGGCTTAGAAGGGATTTTGTCGCACGACAGTACACGCCTGCTGTTCTATCGAGAGAGGGCAAATCGAGAGACGGTGTCTTGGTCTGGTTGATTGGAGAGAAAGGGTCTTGGTCTGGGAGGTGAGGGCGAGATGGTCTAGTGACAGCTACTATGGACGAATGGATCAACGGGAGATTGTAGTGGCTGCAAGCAGAGACACAGCAGCCACACGTCAACAGAGGACACAATCAGCCGTGACCAGGATTTGGCAAGTTGTGCTCGTTCGTTAGGAAAACTGATAGCGCGTACGGCAGGCCCAAGTAGAGCAACAGTGTGAAGGGCAATGGCACACCCATGGCAACAAAATGCCTCATGCCTTCATCCCTACACATCATCCACGCACCAAACCATCACCACACCCAAGAAACATGACGCACGAAGCCACACTCATATGTACTCACCTGACGGAGGCGGATTATGCGAAAAGAAGGCGCGTGCGCACTCTGCAGGCGCCAGGCAGTCGCCAGCCGCTCCACAGAAGGCAGGGCGCCACCAGGCGAGGCCTCGCCCGGGTACGCCCGGGGCACGGCAGTGGAGGAAAAAAGTGGCGGGTGAAATCCGGACGAGTTGGAGGGGTAGAGGGAGGTGCGGCGGACAAGATAAGCCAACAACCAGCCGAAAAGAAAATGAAACGGAGGATCTGTGGCTAAAACAAGGCCGCAGAGCCGAACGCGGACGGAAAATGAAGAAACGGCTTCAGACCGCAAATCATTTGTGTCTCCGTCTCAGCTCGCAAAGGTCTCGCCACGTTTTGAGTTTCGTTTTCTGCGACAATTGGCCATTAAAGGCAGACAGAGGCAGAGAGGATGGCTGCTGCCGCAGATGAGGTGAGATTGCGTGAAATCCGCTCACCTTGATGCGATCTTTCACTTTTCGCAGCCGGGGGGCGGGTGTGTTGAGGGCAGCGGGGGTCTCTGCGATGGCTGCTGCATCGATGGCCGCTGGAAACTACCCGAGCAGTGAGCCACCAAACTCACAAACCAGACACGCAGATGGATGCATCTCCCTCTCTCGGTGATAATCTTCCGTTGTGCAGAGCGGGGGAAACTGTCATTAACCGTAACACTCGTCTGTGTGTCCGTGATACTCATACAAATACAGTCCCATCAGCACGCAGACTCAAACAGGCTCAAGGGGAGGAGGGATCAATCCCCGCCCCAT